CTGGGCCTGACAAGAGGAAGAAAGAAAGGAAGAAAGAGAGAGAGGAAGTGAGAAGGAAGGCAATGCAGCAGCGGCAGCATGTACTCGAGATACTCGGGTCGTCAATCGCAGGTGCAGCTGCGCCCTCGGCCGCGGCACGGGGCGGGTGCGGCTTCCCTTTGCAGTTGCTCTTGGGCACCTCGATCCCATGCCTTCTTACCTTGCCTTACCTTACCTACCTTACCTACCTTACCTACCTTACCTACCTTACCTACCTTACCTACCTTACCTTAGTTGACCGTGGTGTCTCTCGTACATACAAAGTATCCCCCAACGGCAAATGCGTTCTGAGAACGGTGCAGGTGGATTGGCTAGGTTAAAGTGTAGTGCATTGCCTTGGGCTGGGCCGGGCTGCTTCTCGGGCTGGGTCGTGTAACCTTGCAACCTCTTCCTTGCCCAAAGACTTCTAGGCCGTTGCTCCCTCTCTCTATCCAGTTGCTTTTTCATCGCGAGTGTCGGTATCATTGCCTCCTCTTCATGAACATCAGTAAGCCAGTCAAAGTCCCGGCCCTTGTTGCACAACTCATATTGCATCATGCCTCTTGGAACTTAGAAGCATCTGTTTGCTGTCCAGCCTGAGCAGGGAAGAAGCCCAGAGACTCAAGGTGAGGAAAACCTTACGTGAAGAAGAAAGGACGAAAGGACTAACAGACGCAATGCTGGGAAGAGGAGTCCAAGTCCCAGTCCCCATTCCGATACCCACAATCCATTGGATTACAACCCAATTGTCTGCCCTGCAACCGCAGAGTGAAAGCACGAGGACCAGGGACTCTGCGGGGAATCTGTCTGGCCCTTGGTCTCAGCGAGCTCGACGACAGTAATAAGCAACGAGCATCGCAGTAGTCGCAGAAACAACACCAACGCTTTTCCGAGCCACGAGAGACGAAAGACACAAAAGTCTGACAGAGGGTCAAGGAAAGCAACAGGACCCGACAACGGCGGATTAGTCCAAGACACGACGCAGACCCGCTCCATAAAGTCGCCATCTCTGGACACTTCCGTCGAATCATCAGCATCTCAGTCAGAAACCCAGACCCAAGAACCCAGAACCCAGGATACACAAACAACCCAGACCCCTGCCTTCACCTCTCACCCTCACTCTCACTCACAGTCTTTTTGTCTCTGTTTCCCTCCCACCTGTTGCTCCCGTCGTCCATTGCCCCAGCGTGAGAGGTTCACCTTTTTACCGACCCGACATCCATCTTCCTTGTCCGTGTACTTGTCCGTGTCTGTGTCTCTCACTACCACCCAAGAGGTGCTGTGACCACACCCAATTCGCGCCCCCCGTCGTCACCCTCGTCTCCGTCCCCGTCCCGGCCTGGGCTGACCGGTACCTGGCCCGAAGTACCTATCTTCCGGGCCTTTGCTCCTCGCCATCACCACTACGGTCTACCTACTTGCCGGTGGGAACACTCTCAGCTAGTTACCTTTCTGGCGTACGATAATCCTCACTCACGTACCTTACGCGGATACTTTCTCCATTTCTCCTAGAGAAAGAAAGAGCAAGCGACAGCAAGACGGGACCTACCTACATTACCTTACCTTACCTTACCTGCCCAGGGTCGCTCCTGCCTTCCTTGCCTCCTTCACCGTGGTTGGCTGGCCTGTGCTTCGTTCGCTCTTTCCCTCTCCGGTACTCGGTGCACGTCCCGGTCCTCTGTGCTGTACATCCCGGGGCAGTACCTACCTACCTACCTACTGGACGGATACCTTACCTTCCTCACCTAACCATCTTCGTACCTGCGGTACCTACATACCTACCCTTAAATCCTGACCGACCGACCTTATTTTTTATTCGCGGTCCTTGGCCTCGGCCCTCTTCCTCCCACCTTCACACACCTGAAGATCGAGTTGAGACGGCCTTCCACCGAAACCAAATTCCCATCTTGTCTATCTTTAACTTCCACGGTCACTGCGGTGCACTCCCTTTGGTTTCTGGCCCTCAATTGCCCTCCCACGGCCTCGGCGCATTCAGCCTCTGTTGGGTTGCTCCCCGCCTCCCAGGACCCGTTTCTTTTACCCCTCACTTTTTCTCTGCTCGCGACCTCGCGTCGGTGAATCTCGGTGGGGCACATCACACAATCTGCCCGACATCGATTCACAGGGCACAAAGAAAAGCCGCGTGAGAGAGAGAGGAAACAGGACTACTCGCTCTGGCTGAGTGGGATAGAGAGCCGCGCCGGGGAGTTACTTCTCTTGCTACCCCGTCGTCTTCTTAATTTCTTTTTCTTATCCGCCACACGCTCCTACGCCGCAACCACCGCACACCGAGAATGGGTCGAGGGTAGTTGCTGCTGTGACAAAGGGACAAGAAAACACATTTGGCAAGCATGCATCCGGCTCCGAGTCTGGTAGAAGCGCCTCCGAAGAACGGCAGTGAGGAGTCTGGAAACAGACCCCAAACCGCATCGCCTTCAATGTCGCAACATGAATTGCCCCAGTCGGCACAGACTCCGGCGCAACAACAACCGCAGCCGCAACCGCAGCCCTCGCCGCCGCCGCCTCAACAGCAGCAGGCTCAGCAGCAGACTACTCCTCAGCAGCAGCAACCTCAACTCCCTCCGCCGACCCCAGGCCAGTCGGCCTCTCCTCCATTGAGGAAGGACACCAACTCGTCCATCTCAACCCAGGCTACCGCGGCCTCTGCTGCTAGCAACATGTCCGCGGAAACAAACAACACATCGTACAGTGCCGACACCTCTCCTAACTTAACATCCATATTCCATGTCAAGGATGGCTCCGACGTCTCTAACCGGGTCCGCGCGAGCAGGAGGCGAACCGGTCCTTTGTCCCAGCAACAGAGAGAGAAAGCCGCCCTCATTAGAAAGCTCGGCGCGTGTAATGACTGCCGCCGCAGGAGAGTTGCTGTAAGTTGTTTTAATGCTCTTCACTCTCATATCGTGTACATCGAGTTGCTCTTCCCTGCTGACAAAACCGTGCCTTTTAAGTGTCATCCCAGCCATCACAACATGACCTGGGAGGATGCCGTCCGAAAATATCACAGGTCTCACAGCCCTACCATTCAGGACATTGCTCCTTCTCTGTCTGCTCAACGGCCCCTTAGCCCTGCGCCTCTCATGAACAGTGTGAAGCCGATGTACCCTCAGGACGCACAGGATATGATGGAAATCGACTCGCCGACGCCGCCAGGACAGCACCGACTGAGTGAATCTCGCATCCGCACGCCGTTGCCGTCCGGCCCGCGCCTGGACAAGCCGCCGATGCTCCCAGGCATCGAAAGCCTGAAGTCTGACTTACAGACTAACGTTTCGAGGATTCTCTCCACCCCCAGCCGTAGTCGCTACTCCAGTGCGCAGGCGTTGCTGCTGTACTGGCAGGATGACCCTGATCTCAGTGTCGGAAGCTCGGTCAAAGAGCTTAGCGAAGTCCTCGATCAGTACTACCGATATACGTTTTCAATCTCCCCCATTCCGTCTTCATCCGAGGCTTGCAAAAACCCATGGAGATGGCTTTCACGGAAGATTACAGACTTTGTGGAAGATCGCGACCAGCGCGATGTCTTAAAGATTGTCTATTACAACGGCCATTCATACCTGGATGGCAACCGGGAGATGGTTCTTGCCAGGTGAGTCCCCTGTGTGCGGGTCTTGAGTGATTGCCAACAACCTCCAGCTCCAAGGATGTGGAAAAGGCAGAGACAATCCGGTGGAGCGGCATCCAACAGGTTTTGGAAGAGGCCTGCTCAGATACCCTAATCATCATGGATGCCGCGTTCTTCCCATCTTCCAAGATGCACCGTCAACAAGGTGTCTTGGAGTTGATCGCTGCGGCAGTGTCCGAGGAACATTTCGATGCTCTCGATCGTTGCACTTTCACCAAAGTTCTCACTGAGCACTTGAAGACGCGTGCTTCCCAACGCTATGCGAATCCATTCTCGGCAGCCGAACTTCACTCAAAGCTGCTTTCGAACTACCCGTCCCTTGTCCAGGACAGAAATCCGGAGAAGGAGACCATCACGAGCTTTCCCTCGCCTCTCCACATGCAAATGTCTGGTAATGCCCGTTTGCCGTCGATTCTCCTGGCTCCGCTCAACATCGGCCCTACGAGGTCGAGTCTGCCCTTCGGCACAGAGGGTCAGCAACTCGTTCTGTCGATTCGGATCGGAGATGACCCTATTGATGTTGATAATTGGACCGAGTGGTTGAGAATGATGCCAGATGGTATCAAGGATGTGAGGGTTGACGGTCCTTACCGACCGGCGAGGTAGTCTACCGACAGCAGTGACAGACCTTTGGAGAGGCAATGCTCGCTAGGCAACTTTTGCTGTCGCTTCATACGTTTACGAGGCGGTTGGTCTTGGCTATAATGACCACTGAGGCGGGCAATGGGGGTCGGTGTAGCTGAGAAGATGGGAAGTTTCATCGCCTTCAGCTGCGTCTCTCCGGCACCCTTGTCGCCTATCCTCGCTCACCTCGACTTCGCGCGCTTACCCGACTATTGGCAGCTATTATGCGTAATGAATATATTATGAGACGGCATCACCACCCGCTCGAGAGGTGGAGCGGACGAAGAGTGTACAAATACGCCGGATGGGGAAGCCAACGAATCATACATCATGTCACATTTTTGCTTTGAAGTGTTTGTCTCGCAAGCGAGGAGTGCAAACGGATACGGGGAACTGGGGAGCATACAGGGTGGTGTCATGTTGGCATTCACGGCGTCAAGATGCATGGTCTTTTCCTGTCATGAAAGAAGCTTTGCATTAGTGGATATCCCCCAACTCGCTTTATAAAGACCGCACTTCTCTCTTCCTCTCGTCTCCATTTTTTCCCTTCCTGTCTGTCATGATGTGGTTCGTGATGTAATGCTAATGACGGCCGTTCCAGTTTCTAAGCGTCCTAACTCCATTCAACGGAGGTTGCCTGTGACGCAAAAAGTTTCATACACGAAAAAGTTGTGGTATCAAAAAAAGAAAGTTGTTTTCCAAACGTTCACGTCTCTCAAATAGCCAAGATCATGGCCGCAGCAGCACTGACCAAACCAGCCCAGAAGCTGCCGCTCGCCTTGGCGGCAGGACTGTTGGTCTCGACGTTGCCGATGATGAAGCCGGGCTCGTAGCTCGCGTCGCGGGTGTCGAGGGTGCCGTTCCAGCAGTACTTTGTGAAGCACATGGCGCACGCGTCCGGGACGGTCTCCCTGTTGCGGGCCATGCTGCGCGAGAGCATCGCGCAGGCGACGCAGCGGGGCCACTCGGAGTCGAGGGTGGCGTTGCCCTGCGTTGCGGAGTCGTAGCCGTTCTGGATGATGGCGTCGCGCTGGGAGGTCTTGTAGGAGGGATCGAAGGTGGAGACGTTGGAGTGGGCGACGTAGGGCGCGTTGGGGAGGTAGACGAGCAGCGGGGGTACGCGCTGTTTTGCGGAAAGGGTGAAGTTGGAGGCGTTGCAGCCGAAGAAGGTCGGGCGCTTGTTGAGGCCGAGGTTGATGAAGGTGTTGGCGTCCGGAACGGGCGGGAAGAGGGTGCCGTTTGCGACGGGCTCGGCGACGCGGTCGTAGGAGGCGCGGAGGGCGGTGCCGTTGGGCCAGTTGAAGTTTGTGTCGGCGGAGGAGTCGACGGCGAAGATTACGTCGACGGCGCGCTCGGGCTGGATGAGCGGGTGGAGGGGGATGTTCTGGAGGTCCTCGCCGCCGTCGACGAGGGAGAGCTGGGACTCCTTGGCGTTGACGTTGGTGGAGGGGTTCCAGCCGAAGAAGGGGTTGGGGACGTATTGGGCGATGTCGTTGTTGTCCTTGTCGAGGGCGTTGAGGATGGAGGTGAGGGCGGACTGAATGAAGTCGGGGAGGCCGGTGGAGGTGAGGTTCTGGAGCATGAACTGGTTGAAGAGGGAGGAGGAGGTGCCCATGACGAAGCCGGCCTGGTCGAAGCCGCGGACGCAGGAGCCGTTGGCGGGGACGGCGCCGGCGGAGAAGTTGGAGGCGAGGAACTCGAGGGGCGCGAAGCCGAAGGCGGTGGGGTCCCAGGTGCCGAGCTCGAAGGGGTTGAACTCGTAGACGGTGGCGTTGAGGGAGATGATGCGCTCGCCGGGGGCGCGGCCATCGGCGACGAGGATGGGGAAGGGCTGGGCGCCGGACTGGAAGTCGGAGGTGTCGGCGATGGAGGAGAAGGTGTACGAGGGCCCACCGTCGGTGGCGTTGATGAGCTGGTACGAGAGGGCGCGGCCCCAGTAATCGGTGATGGAGACCTCGAAACCCTTGTCCTTGCTGTCGACCTGCTTGGCGACGGTGGCCCAGTAGTCGGCGGTGTTGAGGATAGAGATGCCGGACTCCTTGGGGCCCTGGAAGATGGAGCGGTCGAACTTCCAGACGGAGGAGCCCTGGGAGCCGCGCTGCAGGTCGACCACGGAGGAGAAGTTGTTGGAGTAGAGGGAGCCGACGAGCCAGCCGCCGCCGGAGAGGCCGGCGAGGTAGGTGGCGGACTGGAGGAGGCCGCCGATGCCGCCGGCGGCGGTGGAGTTGGGGGTGCGGGAGTCGGCGGCGGCGAGGAAGCCTGCGCCGTTCATGAGGGCGCGGTAGCCGCCTCCTGAGACGGCGAGGGCAACGTTGGGCAGCTGGGAGGGCGAGGAGCGGACGCGGGAGATGTAGGACTGGGCGTCAAAGTTGGGGATGTTTGCGCGGGTAAGGAAGTCGAGCATGGGTTCTACAGTTGCGTTGCGGCGGATGGGCAGCCATGATGTCTCGTTCGGTGAGAGGGTCGCGGCGGAGCGGATTGTGGGACGGGTGGACGGGCAGTCGACGATGGCCGGGGCGTAGCCGCCGGAGGGCGAGTCCGGGAGGGCGCGGGGGTCGACGGCGCCGAAGGCGAGGCCGGCTGCCATTGGCTTGGCGGGATCGAGGGCCGCTGCTGTGGCTGTCAGAGCCAGCAGGGATGGGAGCAACATTTTTTTTAGAGTGTGAGAGATGATTCGCGCCTGATGGGAGGGGGGTATCTTTGGAGTTTGAGTACGGGTGATGAGTGAGTGTCCGTGTCAGAGCTGAAAGAAAAGAAAAAGTGAAAAGAGGTTGACGTGAAATAATGCAAGTGAAAGCCCCTGAGAAGGAAGGAAAAGGATCGAAGGCAGCGAGAATTGAGAAGAAAGATGGAGATGTTCAGCAGTAATAATAGATTTCAATAGTTGTCACCCCCTAGGCGCATGGTGCAGCGGCAGTGCGGTGCGGACGGCTTCGATGGACGGGGATTGTGACCCTTCGGATCCTTCCACGGACCCGTCGCGCTAAGGAGAAGGTTTTTGATTTTTGGTGTCGGTCGGTATGACGTCGAATGTAGATGAGATTGAAGCTCGTGCGGTCTTCCTTGTCGGAGTGCGAGGGAGCCGCAGGCGCAAGCTCTGGGTTGGGTTTGCCTTCTGAAGCCGAGAAGAGACGAGATGACCCTATGCTGGCCTATGCTTGGTTGCTTTCTCTCGCGCGGGCGAACGATGCGATTTGATCGGGGCCGAAGGTCCGTCTGGGTATGTGTGAGTGAGTTGCTGTGGTGTTCCTTGTGGTGTGTGGATGTTGAGTGGGTGCTTTGATGAGTTGTCAAAACTCCGATGGATGAGCGGGCTAAGCTGAAATTTTAAGCTCAAATGACACTCCGACTCGAGAGGGAATGACTGGTGAAGTTAGAGGAGGTTAAAATAGAGAGGTTTAGTTCAAAGTGATCATCAGGGTCCTTATTTCTCTTATTGCTGGCCGTCAAGCGAGAAATAGAGAGAGTGAGACCCAATGTGTGACGGGGTGGACAGAAATGCAACTGCGGCTGCAGGGCAACCAGGCACCTCACGCGACAGTGGGCAGTGGGCAGTGGGCGGTGGAGTTTGCTCCTCCCAGGGGGCGATTAAGTGATTTGACCCTTCAAGTACGGTGAGAGAGGTTTCATGTGCGAACAGGCGAATGAGGGACGGGAGATGAACAGCTCGTAAAAAGCCTGTGCTGCCGTGCTGGGCGTTTTCTGGGCAGCTGAAGGGGAGAGGATGAGATGGATGGGGTACGCGGAATTGTGGCTCTGCGAGCGAATGAGAAAAAGATCCCGGATCGCCCGGGTCGGGAGGGTCTAGTAGTGATGATGTGAGGCGAGGATCTTTCTGAACAAGTCCCTTATTCGTACGTATGCAGTACGGGGGGATAAGGCTTCCTCGGTAGTTTCGTTTTCGATACGGCGCCAAAAGACGAGCAAAAACGAAGGTCCACGGGAAAGGCGGCCTGCTGGAGCGGTCAAGTGGAGGAAACTAAGTTCAGGCTCGTGGCAGGCAATACGCGGAATGAACGGCAAGCTGAGGCAGTTCAGACGAAGTGGAAATCAAGGTGAAGAGACGCATTAAAAGCCGACGGCGTGTTGGGTCCGGATGATGCAAGGAGACAACATTGTAAGAAATTAGCATCCGAAAAGGAAACAAGAGGTCGCCTCTACTCGCGGCTCTGGTGGGCGCGATGAGGTCAAGCGCCGAACCTGAAGACGGTGCTGGGTGATGGACCAGCTGGACAGCGACGGGGTTCCACGGTCTCGGGTGCGGCGTTTTATGAGACGGAACGTTGGTGAGGTTGGGTGTCCTTGTGCTCGTGCCTGTCCGTGTCTTTTCTGTCTCTGTCTCTCGTTCTCTTCGCATCGATGTAACGGAGAGAATGTGCAACAGAGTTCCGCCTTCAGGTGTCATTCCCTGATCCGGACAGGTGTGACAGGCGCCGAGCCGTGCTGCCCGCAGTTTTCGAACCTGTTCCAACACTGTCTGTCTTTCTTACCTCGGCGCGTACCCGTATTCGTGCCTTTTGCAGCGTCGCAGCGATGGACGGGTGGATGTGCTGGATAGGACGAGACATTCGTTCGACACAGCAGGGCCAAGAGCGGTGCCTGAAATCGATCTGCGGGACAACGGAGCTGGCGGGGCTGGGCGTTTTCGTCTCTTGCCTGCGCCATCCGCGAAGCTGCTGACGGTGTGTGCCGCAGCAGCAAGACTGATTGACTTGGGTTGCTGGTGGTTGGTCGATTACTCGAAGAGCAGCTCACAGCCATTGGATCACTGTGTCAGCAACCGAGTTGAGCTGTATGACCAGATTTAGAGGCTGATGGTCATATGTGAACTGCAGTCAGCAACACACGTCGTTGGATCTCGCCCGAACAGAGTTGTCAAGCGCGTGCAGGTACTGCGGTAGATGCAGGCGTGCTCTGCTACTGGAGAGAGGATGGTGGTGACCACACTTTCGCACCCTCGCCTCGCCCTATCGCCTGCATGAGCCTCCCGCGGGCGCCCCAATTGACGGGTCGATCCCGAGCCAGCTACCATCGGAGGTTTACCTTTAGGGCCGATGCCGTCAGAGGGTGCGTCTGCTGGGCGAGGTGTTGGATGGTGGGCGATGAGTGTGCCTGCGTTACTGCGGCTAGGGTATGCCTTGTTGGTAGGGGTAAGCAGGCCTCTCGAATAAGGTAGGTCGAGTGCGGGGAGACGCCTTGCTTCTCGTGCTCAATTTGAGCGCAATTTGTCTTCCCGGGGGCTGGACATGGGAAGAGAGTCGTGTGAGATGCTGGTGCGGTCGATTGAGACGTGTTTCAGCGCGGTCGAGAAGAGTCTGTGGAAACTCTGTTGTTGAGGAGATTCTGACGGCGTGGTGGTGGCCGTCAACTTCTGATGACGATTTTGTGATTTGCAGCAGGTTTTGAAGCATTATGCATCGGACGGAATCTCGTCGAATATCGAACGGATTACCTCTCCTCGCAAGTAAACAGACAGCTTCATCTTCGCTCATCGACTACGGTTCAGTAGATCACTTTGATCACCTCGCGCGGCAGAGGCAAGGCCCTGGGTCCAGGCCCTGCAAACTCTCACGGCGACTCTGGCATGCGCAACCAACACATATTTTCAGATAGATAGGATCGCAAAAATGGCTTCAGCACAGCCAACCTGTGGCCTAGATGTCCATGTTGAAGAAAGACCCCTCATGATCTTGCTCAAAGTAAACACCTCGGCGATGAAGTCACGACGTCGTCGACTACCACCAACGGCCTCGGTCATGACTTTGTTGATCAACATGAGGTTTGTCGTCGGGGTAAACGCGACGCAGAGGCAATGATCACCCCAACGATCGCAGCGCATGACGTTGCTGGCCGGGTTTCCATGAGCTCTTCGCGTGGCTTTGAGCGTCCATGTTGACGTCTGCTGGGGTCTGTAGCAACAAAGCTGCCGTAGCTGGCAGCCGGCTGGCATTTCCCATATACCACCTGGCAAGGGCTGCTCAGAGGACCCCCAATCACGGACGAGGGTTGCAGCGCTCCGAAAGTGGGTCATGTCAATGTTGACCTGGCAACGGCAATTACGCGAAGATCCATATCAACAAAACCCTCGCCCGCTCTTCCCTGAACGGGGAGCTTCCCAATCAACATCACAGCATCATGAAATAACCGCCAGCATCCTCTTTCCAACCCACGCTTTACTAACCAACCAGCCAAACGACAACCTTCTGCACCATCTTTGCTTTTTCCACCCAGCTTTCCGCACAAGATGGAGCCCCAATCACCCCCCAAGCGCATCACGCGTTCCAGAGCCGCAAAGACGGGCGAGAGCTCAACAACCACGAGAGCCACCAAGATCGTGACCGCAGCTGCCAAGGCAAAGTCGACTGCCACCGCCCCGACGCGCTCTACCTCAGCCAAGAGGAAGACCCGATCAGACGACCACGAAGATGAAGAACACAACGAGCAAACACAAGAGTCAGAACCCGCCGTGCGTGCCACCAGAGCTACGCGAGGCCGCCCCAAGAAGACCGTAGAGGAGCCCACAGCACCAGCTGCCCGAGAGCCCTCAACATCAAGTACGGCGCCCGGCAGAGCCACCCGTGCGCGAGCCACGGCACGCAAGGTCTCTGCCGCCGAGCCGCCAGCTCCCAAGGAAGAGGCGCCCAAGCCCACTCGTGGCCGGCCCAGGAAGGTGGTCCAGCCTTCAGAGGAAGCCCCTGAGAAGGAGGCAGAGCCAGTAAAGAAGACGACGCGCACCCGCGCAGCACCGGTCACAGCAGCAAAGCCCGCCGTCAAGAAGACGGTAACATTCCAAGAACCCGAAAAGGAAAACATCGCTCCTGACGCAAGCAAGAAGACGGCCGACAAGTCCACAACTGCCACTGGCCTCCGGGCCAGACCGGTGCGAAAGCCTCCTGTTCCCAAAGCCCCGACGAGAGCCACCCGCAACGCTGCTGCTGCCACCACGAAGACGGAGAAGACGCCGCTCAGCCCTAAGAAGGTCACGCAGATTCCCATGTCTCAGGACTACTCCGAGGACGAGCTGGCTGGAGAGAACACGCCCCCGAGACCCATGATGAAGAGCCCTACCAAGCCTCCGGCGAGCGTCCTTGGCTCCTCCAAGAAGCTCAACTTGAAGCCTGTCGAGAAGTCGGCGGATTCCAAGGAGGACCAAGACGGCGAGGGCGCCGATTCAGAAGCCCAAGAAGACGAGGTTGCCAACGTGCTGGCCTCGCCTGCCAAGAGACTGCCTCCTTCTCCTTTCCGGGATACGATGAAGTCCCCTGCTAAGCGCGTTGAGGGTGTTTCATTGAAGCCCACGTCCATGTCCACCGCTGAGGGCGTCGCTCCCACGCCTCTCAAGGCTTCGTTGCTTCACTCTCCCGCCAAGCGACCGCAGTCAGCCATCAAGTCGTTCGCTCTGCCGACTACGGGTCATGAGGAGAAGAAGCTCTCCAACTTCAAAGCTTCCCTCCTTCAGTCGCCTGCCAAGCGACCTTTGTCTCCCATCAAGGGTCTGGCCAAGCCTCAAGAGGCCGTTGAGGAGATGCAGTCTCCCGCCACAAAGCCTCTGCTCCTCTCCACCCCGACTGCTCTGCCCCCTGCCAAGAGATCTTCTGAGAAATTGATGGAGGAAGAGACTGGCCACAGCGATGACGATGAGGAACAACTTGACGAGGTTGCCGAGGCCATGCTCAATGAGTCCATTCACTTGGAGGAGCCTATGCAGTTCCCTGGCCGTCTGTCTGCTGTTCTTCCTAGACACGCCGACCCCGTCTTCAAGAAGGACATGCCCGCTCTTGAGGCACCTGAGGAGGATCTGGCCCAGGCCGAGGAAGTCGACGTTGTCCAGTCTGAGGAGGCTCCCGAGGAGGAAGACGACTTCGCCGCTGAGGACATGCCGGAGTTCGATGGAGAGCCCATGATGCTCGACGAGGACTACTTCCAGCCTCAGGCTCAGAACACCATGGCCCCTCAGCCCGCGTTCAACGTGCCCACTGGTATCTTTGGCCTTCGCCAGAAGGACATGGACCCTTACCATAGCATGGACTCGGACTCAGACGACGAGCTCGCCAACAGTCCTCGTGTCTCCGCAGTCGAGAAGTTTGTTCCTCTTACCCCCACTCCCAAGGCTGCTCGCCGAAGCAACGTTATGCCGAGAGTCTCCAACGTTGGTTTCACTCCTCTGGCCCAGAAGCTGAACGCTTGGTCCGCTGGAAGCCCTACCAAGGGCTCCAAGACGCCCGTTGCCAAGACTCCCCAGGCTTCGGCGGACTCTGCTTCCGTCTCTGGCACTCCCCGTGCGTACGACTCTCCCCTCAGAAGCACCTACTTCGAGGATGAGATGACTGTTCGTGCCGACATGGAGGCGCAGAACGAGATTGAGGCTGCCATTGAGGCTGAGATCTCTGCCGCCAGCGAGGAGATTGAGTTCGACGATCTCATGGTCACCGACGAGGACATGGCTCTCGCTGCTGAGGCGAATGAGATGTCTCTGATGGAGCCGGGGCAGCTGGACGACATCGTCAACACTTCCAACAGCTTCGACGACACCCTTTCTGAGGCGAGCCAGGAGTATGGCGACGAGAACGAGATGCCTGTTGATCCCGCCATGCTGAACGGAGCATCCGTTCCGCCTACCACCCCCAACAGAATGATCAACCGTGAATTCCACACCGTCTCCAAGGTCCCTCTCAAGGCCGCTGATGAGTCGACTCCCCGTCCCAAGAAGAAGCGTGCTGCCAGCATCTCCCGACTCCCGGCCAGCCGCCCGACTCAAAATCTTAACAGGAGCGCCACTGTCATTTCCTACTCGCCCGGCAAGAACAAGTCTGAGCCACAGGAGACAGCTGAGCCCGAGTCGGCGCCTGTGACTCCGGCAAAGTCTGACATCTGGTCCTCGCTTGGAACCCCGGCTCGCACCCCTCATCGCAACCTCAGCCCTGGTCTGCTCCGTGGTGCAGTTGTCTTCGTTGACGTGCACACAACCGAGGGCGCGGATGCGAGCAGCATTTTCGTCGAGCTCCTGACCCAAATGGGAGCTCGTTGCGTCAAGACTTGGGCGTGGAACCCGAACGCGGCCGACAACTCCGACATGTCCAAGGTCGGCATCACCCATGTCGTGTTCAAGGATGGTGGCAAGCGTACCATGGAGAAGATCAGGGAAACCAACGGCATTGTCCACTGTGTTGGTGTGTCCTGGGTGCTTGAGTAAGTTGTTCCTCATGGTTCTGCATATGATTAATTACTAACAAGACCACAGCTGTGAGCGTAAGAACGAGTGGCTTCCTGAAGACGAATACTCCATCGACACATCACTGGTTCCCCGCGGAGGCGCCCGTCGCAGGAAGAGCATGGAGCCCACGGCCCTTGCAAACCAGAACGGCATGCTTGTTCCTTCGCCTGTCAAGGGTGGCCGCGACAACAAGACCGCGCCCAACACACCCATGAACCGACGTGACAGCACCGTCTGGATGCACACTCCTTCGGACGAGGCCGACGATGAGGAGGTCGATTGGGAGGGACTCATGTCCCCTGTTCCCGTGACTCCTGCCCCGGATGCTCTCGCCCGCTACGCGGCGAACGTCACACCCGAGACACCCGGTGCCACTGACTACGACTCGTCTCCCACCAAGCTACTGATGCAGACATGCCCTCCCAAGAACAATGCTTTCGCCGAGATGGGCGATGGCATTCTCAAGAGGGAGAAGGACGAGACCGTGATGCAGCGCTTGATGGCCGCCCGCAGGAAGAGTCTGCAGTTTGCTCCCAAGATCGGAAGCCCGTTGGCTAAGGCTTGGCGATGAACATTTTGCATTTTTGCGAATGTCTTTTTGGTCATGATACTGACCGCCTGTTGTGCGACGGAACTTGCTTTGAAATATCATAGACGGCGTTGAAGTGGACATGGATACGGACACGGAGGTATGGGAATGGTGTTCAGGATTACCGGTTGGCTTGTACATCACAATAAACGCGATCGCAGACGCATCGCCTGTTCAGAACAAGCATGTTTGGAATTGTCACCATCAATGAATGAGCTTGATCCACGTTAGGGAGTCGTTGCTTGTCAGACGTGAGAGCTACCCTGGCCCCTGTCCCGAATCTGGCAAGGTGACGCATGTCGGCCGCGCGTTCTTTTGATTGGACCAGCCTTGTCCGGAATCTTGACTCGAGCGATGATTGATAACAGATCCGTGTTCGACACACTTGATACCGCAACTCCGAGCGTCCGTGTGGCGAATATGTGATTCTGTCCTCATCGTTCATTTTTGCAATTCTTGAATCAACAGAGAGCGCTCATGTCAAGATGATATTGAAGGGGATTCTATGGAGCTGGGCTCTGCTGGCACCATGCGTTGTCGCGGAGCAGCAGAAGCCGCTTGGCGCGGGAATACCGAAACATGAACATCTGCAGCAGGATTCGTGGAGACGGGGCCTCAATTTCTCGTCGCCGGCGCCGCATCTGTTCGCGTCGGCGTACGGGCTGCTCCAGCAGTGGAGCAACACCGTGTTTCCTAACGGGCACACGATGGCCGCGGTGGAAATTCCGGCATTTACGCTGCTGTATCACGGGCGGATGGACGAGGAGGACGCGCCGAGTCCGGAATGGCTTGCTTTTGATATGTGAGTCTTCGTGTGAATACCCGTTTGAGAATGGCGCACGTATCGCGAGAAGTTGTCTGACGCCGGACACAGAGAGATGGCCTACGGGATCATGGGCTCAACCCGCCAGAGCTTCATGCTGAGCTACCAGACGACGCAGCCCGTCAAGGCGCTTTACTTTGACGGGGAGTCGGCGGCGCTGATGGGGCTCGGGCAGCTGGACACGCAGATGCTGCACCTGTACGGCAACGTGACCGGCCCGGATAGCGGTGGTGGGATGTGGAGGGGCCTGGAGCCGGAGTACGAGCGGGCGATGGGGCTGTGTGACTGGCTTGCGGAACGGGGCCTCGGGGGCGTGGGCGGGTTCGAGGGGGTGGTGAGGATGAATGCTGGGTTTGAGGTGATTTGGTGCGATTTCGGGAGCGGGAGTTTGAGCTTGGTTAGTAGGGGGAATGTGACGGCGCCACAGATGAGGGAGGTTAAGGCGGAAGGGGTGGATGAGAACGGTGACGACGGCAATGGTGTAGGGGAGAAGAAGGGTGGTGGCGAGGTGAAGGGAAGTGTGCCAACCTCGGTGTACCCGCTCCCGCCGCAGCCTACGCGGACGGATCGGCCTGTCAGCCCGACGAAGCCTGCCGTGCCGCCGAACTGGCGCGGGATCATGGGGCCCTCCGACCGGGAGCCGTTCCTGCAGAGCCAGGGGTGGGGATGGTTTTCCTCGGGGACGTGGCATTATGGGGGCAGCGGGATGGGGCCTGGGAGGGGAGAGACGAGGGCGAAGGTTACGGCTTGCGGGATCACAAGCTGGTATTCGGGCAGGTTCTGGGGGTCGCTCGTGGAGGAGGAGGGTAAGAGGTTGAATCTGACGCAGGAGGGGTTCTGGAGCGGGCTGGACGGGGGGAATAGGAGCGTTGCGATGAATGAGCTTGGGAGGAGGAGGAGGCTGCACCATCTCGAGGGCGTGAGTGAGCAAGCGGCAGCGAGGGTGAGAGGGGAGACTGAGGCCATGTTGAGGGATGTGCTGGAAGGGGGGAGGTGTAGTGGCATGGTCTGGGTCGATGTGTTTGCGGAGATTGTGCAGAGGAATGCTGGGCATCTGATGGCGCTTGAGAAGGCGTCGAGGTGGGCGGGAGACGAGGGCAATGTCACCGAGGTGAGGGAGTGGCTGTACAAGTTGAGGGGTCAGAGCCACATGTTCTTGGTTTCGTTCCTGGAGTATCCGAACGAGATTGACAGGGGAACGTGGGACGTTCAGGGGCCGCTTTTCGGGGAGACGTATTCGAGATGCCGGTATCGGTACACAAGGCTGCTGGTTGATATTCCTATGAAGCCATGGGAGACAGATCTCAGAGACGCTGCCGAGGAGGTCATGGGCGGGATTTGCGGTGTGTTGCTGGAAGTCGGATTCGAGGTCGAGAGGGCTTGGTACGCGCTGGAAGAGGGTGCCGGTGCGAGACTGGTGAAGCTGGCAGAGAGGTGGGAGGACAGTGTACGGGGTTTGAGGGCCTGGGTCGGATGGGAGGGAGAATTCATCAGGTGCGACAAGGTTTGCGAGTGGGATGAGCGGTGTTACATCCCCATGTGGCCGCTTTTGAAGTCGGTCTGGGGCGGCAGACGGCCGAGGCCTCCGCCTAGGGACGGGCCTGGGAATGGAACGGAGCCGAGGCCGGGGCCGCCTCCGGGCAAAGGACGCGGGCCGGGATATGGAGGTGGACACAGGGGCCCGGGCTATGGGATGCCGGGGCGAGGGCCCTCTTGGATGGGCGACGAGACTGACTTGTGGGCGCCCAAATGTGTGAAGATGGACGACATCATGCCCAGACCGAGGGCAGACTAGACTGTGGTCAGTGGTTCATTTCAGAAAGATTGGTTTCCTCCTTCGTTTGGTATAGAATCATGGCGTGGGCTGTCAATTGTATGTCTACCTCGAGAACAAACCAACGAGGTTTGCCAGAAGTTCGAGGTCACTGCAGACGAGGCGACTCTAAACATCTAAATGTCCTTCACTTGGTAGCGAGCATGTTTCATTTTATGTAAATTCAAGCTTGACTTTTTGGTCATCTGATCTGGTCCGAGGTTAGCTTGCCGCTGCAAGTGACGAAGCCAAGGTTGACGTACCAAGGTATAACACGAATAATCTTGTGTCTCAATCTAGACTTTCAACTCTATATCCTTGCCGATATTCCGTCCCAATTCCTCATTTCATGCGCTAATGTACGCCTTCATCGCCTTGACCGCATCGCCGTCGTTGGCCTTCAGCAGCTCTGTCGCCTTGGCCTTGGGGAGTTCCAGCTCGTCAACCTGCAATGGATCCGTTAGCAAAAGTAAATCTTATCTCTTCCCGGGGGTTCCCCCTCGGAAATGCGGTTCTCTGTCTGCTAAAGGTAGATCTGGAGGGCTACTGACCAGCAGCGTCACGTCGGCAGCGTCGACCTTGACGTTCTTGACCTCCTTCTTGGCGGCCGTGGCACCTCCCAGACCCTTGATGGCCTTCTGCGCAGCCTCGGCGTCGACCTTGTCCTCGGAAGCATCGTCGCCGCGGGCGTCGAGGCTCGCGAGCGCGGAAGCGGCCTTGCGGTCCTCGGCGGACTTGGCGTGCTGGACCTCCTCCTCGACGTCACCGCCGGTGGCACCCTCGACAACGGCAGGGGGCTGCTTCTCGGACATGTTTGTGGCTATTCGGGTAATCGTTCGGTCGTCGGGTGTGCGAGGGCGTGAGGTCGTGGGTAGTGTGCAGTCTGATGTAGCTGTGAGGTTCGCAATCGCGGAGGCACGTCCAGCAGCAGCAGCAAGTGCGAAGCTGACTTGAGTGCACAGGGCAGGCAGTTTGGAATTTGTGGTGGGGCAGTTCGAGGTGGGGGATGTGACGGGGGGAGGGGCACCACAGAGGGGAAGCTTTGGCGTAGGTGTCGCCCTCACCGACGGTGAGCCATCTGAGAAGGTCCGGTAGGCTTCGGCACAGCGTTGCCCTGGGGAAATCGCAAGGTGGTGCAACTTTAAGCACTAACTTGCTAGGTTCCGCGGGCTGGACGGATGCTCTGGTTCCTGGTTTATTTTTGCATGGCGTAAATTGCCTGCCGCCATTGGCCAATTTGACTTCCGCACCGTTGCATGTTCGATTTTTCTCCCCTGTGCTGCCCATTGAGCCACATTGTTCATGTCCCTGCATTCTGCTGCCCATTGAATAAGACTGACTCACTATGCGGATGGCTCCTGCTCTCAAAAGAGTCATTCCGTCTTTGCATTGAGCTGCTTCACTTCTCTGACAGCTTTACAACTCCTTCCTTCCCCTCAATCGACTCCTCCTTCTGTCGTTGAACCTCCTCTTAGCAAACGCCGTCTTCCTCATAGACCCTCACAAACACCGCCATGTCCTCCTCCACGACCTGGTCGCCTGATTCCTGGCGGTCAAAACCCATCAAACAGTCACCCGCATACCCAGACGAGGCGGCGCTCCAGAAGTCGGTCAAGGAACTCGGCCGTCTGCCTCCCATTGTTCACCCCAAGGAAATCGTCGCCCTGAAGCAGCACCTCCGCGATGTGGCTCTGGGTGAGGCCTTCCTGCTGCAGGGCGGCGACTGCGCCGAGCTCTTCGACTACTGTGAGCAAAACACCATCGAGTCGAAGATTAAGCTCCTGCTGCAGATGAGTCTGGTCCTCATTTGGGGTGCCGACAAGCGCGTCGTCCGCATTGGGCGCATGGCTGGCCAGTATGCGAAGCCCAGGTCTAGTCCGACTGAGATGGTGGACGGTGTGGAGCTGCCGTCTTTCCGGGGCGATATTCTCAACGGCTTCCACGTCGATGAGCGGACCATTGACCCTCAAAGACTGGTTAAGTGAGTCGCCCTCATTATAAAAGCTTCAAGTAACCTATGCTAACAAAAATAGGGCTTACCAGTACTCATCAGCAACCCTCAACTACATCAGAGCATCTCTCTCATCCGGCATAGCCGATCTCCACAGACCGCTCGACTGGGGCCTCGGTCACGTCCGGGACCCGGAGCTCAAGAGGAAGTACTCAGAAGCCGTCCTCTCCCTGACCGACATGCTCCGCTTCCTCCACACAATCGGCGCCGACAAGAGTGACAAGCTCGACACCGTCGACCTCTTCACCAGCCACGAGGGCTTGCTTCTAGAATACGAGCAGCCGCTGACCCGCCTGCTGGAGACGCCGGCCCCGCGCCCCACACTCAACGGCGGTGGTGCTGCCGCCGAGACCAAGAAGGAGTACTACGACACCTCGGCGCACTTCCTCTGGATCGGCGACCGCACCCGTCAGATCGACGGCGCGCATGTCGAGTTCTTCAGGGGCATCGCGAACCCCATCGGCATTAAGGTCGGCCCCACCACGCCCACCGACGACTTGCTCGCTCTGCTCCGCACCCTCAACCCGGACAAGGAGCCGGGCAAGATCACCCTCATCACTCGTTATGGTGCCGCCAAGGTGCGCTCTCTTCTGCCTGCGCATATCAGAGCTGTTGAGGACAGCGAGTACCGCCGCTGCGTTGTCTGGCAGTGCGACCCCATGCACGGCAACACGGTCTCGACTGGGGGCGGCATCAAGACACGTCGGTTCCGGGACATTTTTGAGGAGCTTCAGGAGACGCTACGGATTCACAAGGAGCAGGGAAGTTACCTCGGTGGTGTGCATTTGGAGTTGACTGGCGATGCGGTCACGGAGTGTCTGGGTGGCAGTGAGGGACTGGACGAGGATGACCTGTCGACAAACTACACCAGTTTCTGCGACCCGAGACTGAACGAGAAGCAGGCGCTTGAGTTGGCGTTCTTGATCGCGGACCATTACAGAAACGAGAGAAGACCAGTCGTTTAGACGGGGGTTACGCATGGTTGAAGGGTGGATGCATACCGGGCATACTGTGATCACTAAAAGCAATTCTTTACATGAAATTCAGCAGGTTTATGGTTATTGTTACTTGAATACGTACATCGTGATAACAAACGCAAACTCACAACACGACCAGAGTGCTCAGACGGACAAGATGCACATCATCAGCGTCGTCCGTGCCCCGGAAAGGCCTGCCTATTATTGCAGACACCAAACACCCGTCAACCGAACCCGCACCGACAGTTCAGGGCGCAGAGGACCGAAGAAGTGGGCCCCAACGCTGAGCCAGCGCCGCTAAACCGTGGCCCAACAGGGAAGTTTCAAACGGATATCAGCGGGCCAACAGGTGAGGTGAGATAAGCCAGTGCGCCCTGCGCTCCTTTCCCCAGTTCCGATAAGGCGAGCGGGGCTTCCCCGCGGCTCCGGCTAGAACCCCCCGTGACCGGTGTAAGTAGTCCCCTTTCTCCCTTGAGGTGTCCCAATGCAATCCTCACCTTTTACACACCATCTCTCGTAGTTCGAGCTCTCCTCGTCTCATCTCACTCGGGAGCTAGTACTAACTTCACCTCAACCCAGTGATCACCTACTCACAACCCACTTACAGCTTACAAGATGGTCTACCCATTGGACTATCTCCAACACCGCCGTGACTGGTCAGCCAAGCTACCCCAACATCCAGCCCCTCAGAATGAATGCCGGGGTCACTAACACGATTCCAGCAAATTCAAGCAGTCAGAACGCGCGGATAGGATCAGCCGCCTCACAGCCTACCAGGGCCCTTTCTCATCTCAAGACCGCCAGATCCTAGACAGGCCCATCGGCGAGCTCGTACAAGATGTCCACAGGACCGTCCTGAAGCCAATTGACATCCTGAAAACCTACGGCAAGGTCGCCCTCAAGGCTCATGAGCGCACGAACTGCCTCACGGAGATTATGATCTCGGACGCCGAGAAGTGGGTTGAGGACGGCTCGATCAACATGAAGGGGCCCCTGGCTGGCATCCCCGTCAGCCTCAAGGACACCATCGTGGTGGGCGGCTACGACACCACCGTTGGCTTCAGCAGCTTCGTGGGGAACAAGACGCCGCTGGACGGCCCTGTGGTGCGGCTGCTGAAGGACGCCGGCGCGGTGCCGTACGTCAAGACGAATCTGCCCATCACCCTCCTCAGCTTCGAGTCCACCAACGACGTCTGGGGCCGGTGCACGAACCCGCACAACACGAAGTACTCCCCGGGAGGCTCTACGGGCGGCGAGAGCGCGCTGCTGGCGATGGGCGGACGCATCGGCATCGGCAGCGACGTCGCCGGCAGCGTGCGCGCCCCCGCTCACTTCTCCGGCTGCTACAGCCTCCGCTGCTCGACGGGCCGCTGGCCGAAGCTGGGCTTCTGCACGAGCATGCCCGGCCAGGAGGGCGTGCCCTCGGTGTACAGCCCCATGACGCGGACCCTCGACGACCTGCGGTACTTCACCCGCGCCGTCGTCGACATGGAGCCGTGGAAATACGACTACAGCGTGCACCCACTGGCGTGGCGGGACGACGTCGAGAAGGAGTACCTTGAAAAGCCCAGGCTGCGGGTGGGCGTCATGCGCACCGACTGCGTGGTCGACCCCAGCCCGGCGTGCCGCCGCGCGCTCGAGATGGTCGAGGTCGCGCTGCGGAAGGACGGCCACGAGATCGTCGAGATCAGCCCGCCGTCGCCGTACGAGGCGCTCAAGACGGCGGCGCTGGCGCTCAACGCCGACGGGTGCAAAATGTTCGACTCCTTCTTCCGCGCCGGCGAGTGGAACGACCCCGGCGCCGCGCAGATGAAGTTCCTCATGAACCTGCCCGGCCCGCTGCGGTACGCGTACTACCTGTGGGTGAAGTACGTCCGCCGGGACGCCATCTGGGCGGACCTGATCCGCGACTGGCGCCCGCAGACGGCGTTTGAGAACTGGAAGCTCGTCGCGCGGAGGGAGGCGCACCGGCTGGACTGGTTCAACTGGTGGAACAAGGTCGAGGTCGACTTCCTCATCACCCCGCCCAACGCGACGCCCGCTGTGCCGCATGACGGTATGAAGGACGCCTGCAGCAGCTGCGGGTACACTTTCCTCTTCAACCTGGTGAGTCTTGCATGGGCTGTGTTGAATCGCGGTTTTCCGCTAACAGAGTGTGTAGCTCGATTACACCGCCGGCGTCATCCCCGTGACCCACGTAGACAAGGACCTAGACCAGCTCCCTGCGGACTTCAACATCAAGAAGCTGAACGGCATCGCTCAGGGCGCGTATAAGCTGTACAACGCCAAGGACATGCACGGTCTCCCCGTTGGAGTTCAGGTCGTCGGCAGGAGGTTGGAGGAGGAGAAGGTTCTCTCCATCATGAAGAGGGTCGAGGATGCTTTGGGAGATGACAAGTACAAGCTGCTTGAGATTGACTAGGTCCGGAGAGTAGCTCTCAGTGTAGGCGTTGGCCGGGATTACTGCGTCAGCTATGTAGCACTATGGAGTGAAAAGGACATCAATGACACCCCAACGTCTGGCCGATTTCGCGACGGATATTTAATGCAAAACGCCCCATTGGAGGCCGCTTATTCCAAGCTGAATCGTATTTCCCGGATATAAGATGCCAATTGATTGACTTTCGGGTAGCCCCTGCCGTGTAAGTGGTTTGGAGATGCGGGGCTGCGGCCGCTGAGGCTGGTCCGAGATCGGACTGCGGGGTGCCATCCATTCTGACTTCACCTCGTTTGACGCGCGCAGGTGTAAGTCCTTCAAGGCAAGTACTTAAGGAGCTTGAATTCCATAAATTGATGTTTCTTGAGCCAAGCAGCTTCAACTTCAATCAGAATCAGACCTAGAAACCTAATCATGGCCGCACAAAAGGAAGACAAGTGGACGACGGAGGTGAGCTCCCTTCAGTCCAACTCCACCATCCAAGCACTTGCGATGAACTACTGACTTACACGTCGCAGGCGTACCAACATTCTGCCTCGTTCGTCCCAAAGCTCGCGACCAAAGTCGTCGGATGGCTCGACGTCCAGAAGGACGACGTCATCCTCGACATTGGCTGCGGTGGTGAGCCCCCTATCTCTTCCAGGCCCACCAAGTCACATACGCTAACAAACTGTAAGACGGCATCCTCGACGTCGAGTTCGGCAAGATCCTATCTCAAGGCACCGGCTCGCTCCACGGCATCGACGCCTCCCCGTCCATGATCACCGCCGCCGAGAAACTCGTCGCAGACGCCGGCCTCTCCAACTGCAAGTTCGAAGGTACCCTTCACCCGCCTCCAAGACTCCACCCACCTACTAACACATCCCCAGTCCTCGACGCGACCAAGATCGCAACCTCCTCCACCCCCGCCCTCCAAACCCCAACCTTCACGAAAGCCTTCTCAAACGCCGCGCTGCACTGGATCCTCCGCCCGCCCGGCGCCCAGATCCCCGTCTTCACCGCCGTCCGCGACGCCCTCCTCCCGGGCGCGCCGCTCGTCCTCGAGATGGGCGGCCTCGGCTGCGTCTGCGAGATGCGCACCGCGCTACTCATGGCCGTCTCGCGGCGCGTGGGCATCGACAAGGCGAAGGAGGTCGATCCCTGGTTCTTCCCCGACGAGGCGTGGCTGACGAATGCCCTTGAGAAGGAGGTGGGCGGATGGAAGGTCGAGAAGATTGAGCGCGAGTGGCGGCCGACGATCGCGGACAAGGGCGGCGTGGAGGGGTGGTGCCGGTTGATGGGCAAGGAGCTGCTGGACGCGGTGGAGGATGAGGGGGAGAGGGAGAAGTGTGTGAGGGAGGTGGCGGATGTGTTGGAGCATGTGTGTGCTGTGCCGGGCGGGGGGCATATGATTAGTTATGTGAGGTTGAGGTGTGTTGCGAGGAAGATTTAGAAATTGGTTTGCGGGAAGATTTTGAAAGGATATAAGGCGTCTTTGAGATCAAGAGTGGTCATAGGCCGGAGATAGATCCGGGTATTGTCTTTGTGAAAGCCGTTCGGATTAGTCAGGACAAGTCCGTCTCCAAATGGAAGTTGCCTACAAACATTGAACCCATGAATTCCCTCGAAAAGTTCGGTTTACAATTCACATTGGTGTGTGTATATATGTATACGGTTTGCTACTTCGGCTTATTCCTTCTATGGCAAGTGGGACATCGTGGCCAAATGTACAGCCCCAGGTAACAACCATTGAGACATCTCTCAGACATCTCCAGTACCTTCGTTTTCCATCAGGAAGTCTTTTGACACTGACCGAAATCCACAGAGGACAAGGAGTTGCGATTAGTCTTCCCGATTGGAATCACCAGCTACAGAGGGGTGACCCCCTCGAATGTTTGTACATGCAGTGAAGCCAGCGCACATTTGAATGCAATATCTTACGACCATCACTCGCCTATTAATGCAGCTTTGAGATTTTGTCATTACCTGAACAATTGCGCAGAAAATCATTGCGGAGCAGGAAGAATCCAAAGAAATTGAGCCGAGAAATCAGCTTTCCTGTTAGCGCCAGCAGGAATTGCTGGCTCTATGTATTCGAACAGCATACGCGTGAGGTGCGCCTCTTCACTGTATCTTCACTGATGTCTGTGGTCTTCCTATTATTATTGCCCTGACTATGCGCCTGAATAGCCAGTAACCACTCACCGCGCGGATAGCGCATAGGTATATGTAAGCTCCGTCCACACAGCGAATATCAAGAGAAGTGAAGGTCCGTAATCCACAGACATCTGGCCAATGGCGTTCCGCGGCAAAATTTGTCATATTCAGTGAAATCCTCTTGAGATTGTGCTTTTATTACAGACCATGTGAGCTCAGGAAGTTGACGAAGTCGGCAGACTTCGCCGTCCACCAGCAGATCGAGGTCTCGGGCGTATTCAATGTGTTTGAAGGCAAGTTTTACTCGTCTACATTACCCATTTTTGGTGTGCCAGGGCGATCAAAATTGTCCTCAGATCAGCGTCTGGCAGCTTGGGTGTCGTCGTCTGTCCAGCTGCAGAGTTGAATTCATTTGTTCGTGTTGTAGAAGGGCTAGCTATTCGAGACGTCAGAGTCGTTCCCATTAAACAGAAATCTCCGCTTTTGCTCAATTTCGGTTTTACTAAAGACGCGCTCAGCTTCTTGTATGCCATAGTATTGTGAGTATTGTGAGTACTGTTTCTTCACCCGCAACAAAGACTAATAAAGGACGAGGGCGACGAAAAGAAGGATAACAATAGAGACGAGGACGGACGACGGCGGACGACAACAATGATAACAACGAAGACGAGGAGAAGAACGAGGGTTGCAATGATGTGTCAGAGGCAATGATCAGGCCAATTGTTACCAGAAACTTCCATATCCTAGATGCTGGGGGGTGTGGTCGTTAAGTTGGGTCCTCTGCTGGGTTACTCAGAGGGCCTTCCAGCTGTGCCCGAGAGCCTCCCTAGTGTGAAACTCGTTGCGGGCAGGAAGATCTTGCAGGTTGTTGACCTCAATAGCAGCACCATACCGCAAGTCATGAGGTCTGAAGCGCTCTTTCAAACCGATGGCGGGGGTGAAATTCTTGAGGGCCCATGAGGTCGACCCTCTAGTGGTCGGCTTATCTAGTTGTACTTCAACCAACGTCGAAAACTGTGGGAACACTGGTTGCAGGGCATGGACCCAATCAACTAATGGTACGGTCTTAGGAAGAGTCTTGGTGCATAGTTCGTCGAAGGTTTTTGCGTCGACTGCCCCGAATCTAATAGCCATGATAATTAGATAGTTCAATGGGCAGAGGTACGGGACGGTGCAGGTTTTAAGCGTCACGACTCGCTTCCTGTCGTCGGATCGAGACTCACTGTACAAAAGGGTTAGCTCTAAATTGACAACGGCGAAGTAGGAGAACTTACTTCATCTCTTTTTGGCAGTGGATGGTGATCTGACCGTCGATTGAGATGGCGTCACCAGGCCCTCGGTGAAGAGAGAGCGACAAGTCACGCCACTGGAGGTATTGAAACGGGACTCTCTTTTGTCTTGAATGGCGGGAAAACCGGTTGCGAGGAATGCTTCCAAGTAACTGAAGGCGAAGTAACGGCCTCTATCAACGTCTTGATCGTTCCTCGCCATCGTCCTTCGTCATCATCCTTCGTCATCGTCCTTCGTCATCGTCCTCTCTCGTTAAGTCATATGCATAGAAACAAGGGACTGGAGGTGAATCTCGGCAGACTTAAAACTAAAATACCAGGTCCGCTGCTCACGTAGAAAGCTTTGAACAAAGATGTAGAGGCAACTGTGCTACCAATGTATCCATTGGCCAATCTTCGCAATATATTGCCTGAAGAAGAATTTTTCAAGCCACAGGAGCCTCGCAGGTAATGAATAGTGATTGTCCTAGGAAATTTAGCGCTACTATGCAACTTTGAGTAACAGACACATAACATTTATCCATGCTCCCTGGTTGCTCATATCGGTATCGTAGTTCAGCAAGAAGATGTCGTTCTTTCGGCGAGACGAGACAGACGGCGCCTTCATGTCCTAGGAGGTAAGCCGGCCCGCTGGTTCAAAGTCTTTAAAAGAGCGACCATTTGGAGACACCACAAGAGTTGCGGAGCAATGATTTGACAGAACGTCGATCTTCCCCTGCCTCTCTAAGAAAGCAGTTTCTATCGTTTTAAGTGGTGATTCCTGGCAGTTGCACCCGTCTGAATGCCGTCTACATAAACCGCAAGCACCCCTCCTTCATCGCCGTCTACTTGCGTCTTTGTGGCCCACATACGCGCAAAACGATGGCAAGGGGGAGGCAGCTTAGCAGTGCAATCTTCTTGTTCTCATTACCAAGGTGCATGCGAGAATTTTCCAACTGTCTAGACAGGATTAAGGAGAATACAAGCACTTCCGCTGATGCATATTGCTGACTGACTATCGCGTTTTATACCTTAGGTTATTGACCAGGAAACGAACATCCTCCTCGAGAACACACGCCTTCGCGCAGCGGAGCGTCGCAGACCACTCAACAGGACAAGTCGTATCCTCATGCCTATAGATTCTGAACGCAACGCATGTTTTCTTGCAAGAGCCAAAGTAAGCCGTTCGTCTCAAACCAGCGTTTGGTCCATAATGCATCACAATGGTTGTAGTTGACAAGATGTATGCCAGCAAGCCTCACTGCAAGCCCGCAGTCCAGAGGTCTTTTTCGTCTGTCCGCATTCCTTCTTAGCATGTATCAGATTGAATAAGCAGACGAAAAAGATCTAATGGACTGCTTGTATATACCGTCATGATCGTTTTCAACTCGGAGTGAGCAGCAAACTGTCATGTAGCCACCGGCATGTTCTACTAGACATGACACCTTGAGAGAACATTCGATATCATTCACAGGTCATACAGTCCCTTACCATCATACGCTTTAAATACACACCAAACCTATCAGAGGTATAGGCTGGGCTCTACCAACAAGAGAGAGCCAGCAAAGGGCCACTCTCCTAACACCAAGCTATTTCAGGTATAAAAGACACAAGAAAGCATTGATAGTAGAGCAGAAAAATCACCACAAGGAGTTGTGTGACAATGAGGTGCACAGAACACGCGCAAGTCACCAGGTGCTTCTTGAAGTAATCTGCGCAGAAGAACTTCACCACTTTCAAAGGCGCCATCTATATCAGTCTTGCTATTTTTTCTCCCCTCGTCTTTATTGATCATCATTGTCCCGCATACTTCATATGACTTCTGATGCGTACTCTGTTGCGCACAGTGAGATGCCTAAAGCTACTCACACGCTGCACTCTATGTCAGAAATTGCATGTCTTGCGTGACTTTCACACCCTACCCTTTATCAGACCTAATCAGACACCAGATGGCCGCAACACAATGCTTACTGCGCTTCAATATACACAACATCAATAGAGCTATCTTTTATAGTTACTACTGGTTTGCAATTTCGCACTACTGCGCAGAGGGCTTTACCTCTTTAAAAGATCTTTCTCTGCGCAGCCAGAAAGAGATATACATCAGTGAAAGAATAGTCCCACACCACTTAATGAACATCTCAGGGCAGAGTTAGGACTCTAGAGTAGTTAGGAAGACGTTTTAAACCCCTTTAGCACCTACTTAAACACTGTTTCACACACGTCTTTATTACTATCTTCCCTCATCACTACTCCACGCGTACGTATTCACAGCCTCAGACGCAGGGGATAAGCTTGAAATGCATCTAAACTACTTTTAAGACCTATCTTTCACATTTCTAGCAGTCCTTTAGAAGGATGTTCTTTAATAGGACAAGCATTATGCGCACTCACAACGTCATTCCCTTGTCTATTTCCACAATTCAGAAAACATTCCTAAGGAATAGCAGAGCTACTTAAAGATATCTAGCATTCTCTTAATATATCCCTTTCATATCTAAAAAACAAAGCTTCAGAGGAGTGAGGGCACCACTTTAACCCAACCCCTAAACAACCGCTACAGACATCTCCTCACGCAGAAGCCATCAGACGCTATGTCCTTAAAGCCAGCATCTTCACACACTGCTTCCTTTCTTTCTAGGCCACAATGCGTCGAACTCATAGTCCTCTGGCCAAATTTCCAGATTTGTTGTTGCGACAAACAGCAGATGAAATGGAAATTGGGCTTACAGCGGTCATAAACCTAAGAATGGCGAAGCTGCGGTGTGACAGAACGACCAGCACTTGACCGATCATCTTTCACACTCCACACTCCATCATCTTTGAACGCGCTCGTCCATTAAGTTTTCAAGCCCTCAATACTCCACCAGAGACAAAAGCCTCCAATCTTCACGTCTAAGGCACCTGCTTCATCACTCTTTCTTTGACATCCACTATGGAAGCCAGCTTCAGGAGAATGCATACTTAAGCCGAGATCTTCACACATTAGTCGCTTTCGTTCTGAACCACAATGCTGCTAACTGAGCCTCGTTCATACCAGAATTGACGGAGCGTGTTTTCTTGGCACCTATGCGCAACGGACAGCCACTTACTCTACTTAGCAAACAGCAAGTATGATGGGAGAGGCCCTTCAAACCGCACACATACTCACCATCCGCGAAGTCCCCTATCCTCAAAGTAGTCAGGTCCCCAAATACTCCGAAGACAGAACACCTCCAACCCCAAGCCGAACCCATCTCACCAAGTCAGCATCATCGACCACCTACCCACCTGCCCGCAAACCATGAACCCAGACACTTCAATCATCGAAGAACTCCACAGTCAAATTGTGTCACCTTCAACATCTCCAGAACGACCCTCTTATAACTACGCCTTGTCTCGCCAAGTCCTGAACCTGGATGCAGAGTTGTCAGTCCCGACAGTCCGGAACGCACCCAAGCCGGCCCCGCTCTCGGCCCGCCGATGACTTGCATCCCGTTCTTTCTGCCCACCAACCGGCCCGCGTACGGCACAGACGTCTTCCGGAGAAATATCAAACCTTATTCCAGTCGACGGGCATCCCCTACCTAAACTTCCCTACTCCCAGGCTTGATATCCAGACACCCCTAATCATGCTCCAAGATCTCACTCAGATCAACCTCATGAACATCGGATCACACTCAAACTCTAGATTAGCATGAATCTTCGACTACTCAAGCTGCACGCACTGCATGCAGGGGCACACCTTCAACAGACGTCGTTTGCAAAATATTAACATCATCAATTGAACGAGGCCCATGCTCGTAGGCATAAGGTGGCAGAAGATCATCACTGCTAGATAAAAGGCCCATCCCAAAATGAACGCCCGGTGCCATGTTTAAGTCCCGCCGTCTATGCCGGTTCCCGAACGCAAAAGCAAAACCGAAAAGGCGAGATATGGTGTATAACCCCTGAACCCCCCGAATTCCGGAATCCCAAAATTTTTTGGCACCAAATCCCGTTTATCGAAAAAAATAGATGTAAAAAATGTTTCTGCCGTTACGCCGATCGAAATGCCAAGATGCAACGTGACCTGTCGCGCGATCCGGTTCTTGTTGTGCTGTTCCATGTGGTATCGTTCTTATGTACAAATCTGTTGCCTGGATGAAGGGAAGTCGTTCCCGCTGAAGATGCGAGGTGGATTGAGACCTGAAACCTGAGCGCCTCGCTGTAGTCGTTCGCCCGAATCGGGCCGTAATGGAGAGGATGTTGAAAAGCACTACGATCTTCGCTTCTTTTCTTCCTTTTCCAGCTTTTCGACGTTCTCTTCCGTGAGGGAGTCACCCGTGTCACCCGCAATGACCGTCTGGAATGACGCGCCGCGTCGCTCAAGCTTCTTCCCACCAGCAGCATCCATCAACTTGCCGGCCTGAGCTTGCAGAGCGAGCTCGTCTGTCTCCGATCGGCGGATCGGCTTGGAGTTCACACCTGGCGAGTCAAACGGTGACGGTTCGTAGGAATTATTCCTCGTCAGAGGCCTTGGTGTGGCCACATCGCCCCTGTCCTCCTTTTCAGGGTCCCTGTTCTTGTTTTCTGACTCCTTTTTGATGGCATTCAAGGTGTCTGTGGAGCCGCCACCATGGTCGTGTTCAACGCCTGGGATGTCTGCATTGCTGCAATGTTCAGCAGTGTCTGAGCAGTCAGACAGAGAACCATCTGAACCCCTCTGCGTCGTCCCTTGCTGTCGTTTAGCCAAACTCCATCTCACCAACATTCTTTCGAGCGTCTTGCTCTTGACAGGCTTGGAAAGATAGTCATCCATGCCTGCTTTCGTGCACTTTTCCTTGTCACCTTGGATCGCCGAAGCTGTCATTGCGACGATGGGAATGTCTCGCACGTAAGCCTTGTATGGCACGTGGTGTCGAAGAAGATGTGTGCACTTGTAGCCGTCGATGACGGGCATCTGCACGTCCATGAGGATAATATCTGGCTTCGGGTGCTTGCCATCCTTTGCCGCAGCCATGTATTCGAGCGCATCCTTGCCGTTCCACGCCGCAGTTACCTTGAACCCAAGCTTCATGATCGTCTTGGTGGCGATTTGCTGATTGATAGCACTATGCATGGTTAGTGTGGGCCCAGATGTTTGCCAAACAGTATACTCACTTGTCTTCGACCACCAGTACATGAATCTTGGCGCGTTCAGTGGCCGGCAACATTTCCTCGTCGGAAGCTGGTGGGGTTCGAACAGATAGTCGGCGGGAAGGGGACTTGTGTTTGTCAGTCAAGAATTGCGACGACTCTCCTGAAGCGGGAGGCGTGTTGATCAGTTGCTCAAATTCTGAGCTGTTGCAAGAAACGCTCATCTCAGACTGCAACCGATCTGGAAGCGAACCAATCTCCACGATCGGCTTGCCGGCTTGTCGCCCCTGAGGCTTGCTGAAGGGGACCCAAAACGTTGCGACGGTTCCGTTGCCGAGCGACGATTCTAGAGTCATGTCTCCGTGCATGAGGTCGAGCAAGTTCTTGCAAATGGTGAGGCCCAGACCAGTTCCGCCGAATTTCCTGGCCGTGGATGCATCACCTTGGCTGAACGGTTGGAAGAGCTTTTTCCGAACCTCCTCTTCAATACCGATACCGCTGTCTTCGACGATGAACTTGACGATGATGTTATCCGCAGTCTCCTTCTCCTTCTGGACTGAGAATTTGACATAACCTTGGTTCGTGAACTTGATGCTGTTGGTGAGGAGGTTGGTGATGATTTGACGAACACGGCCTGGATCGCCAATAACGACCAGGTCGTTTTCGATGTCTCTCGAGATATCCGACCTGAAGTCGAGATTCTTGCGCTCCGCAGCGAAGCTTAGCATCTTGCTGACATCTGTCACAATTACCGATAGTGAAAATTGGACCTCTTCGATGTCTAGACGTCCAGATTCAACCTTGGAAAAGTCGAGAATATCGTTGATGACAGTCAAGAGGGCATTTGCAGACCTCTGAATGTTTTCAACGTACTCCATCTGCTCAGAGTCGAGTTCCATATCCCCAAGCAGTTCGGCCATTCCAATGACACCTGTGATGGGCGTCCGGATTTCGTGAGACATCTATGAAGTAGTCAGCGGCTTTGCGTCATTCAACTTGATCATCATCACTCACATTAGCAAGGAACTGGCTCTTCAGTCTGTTGGCCTCCTTGGCAGCAGCTTCGTTCGCCATCGCTTGCTTCTTCTCTCGAGATTGTTCTTTCAGGTCCTCCGCCTTCTCCTTCAGCTCACTGACATCCATAATGACCCCAATGACACCCTCAACGCAGGTCTCATTCGTCAGGATCCCTTCCTTTGATTTCTTGCCCAGAATCGGAAGGAATCTCGTTCGGTACCAGCGCCCATCCATTCCGTGTTCCGCCACCTCTTCTGACTTGCCGCCGGCTAGTATATCCTCAATGGGCCGGAGGAACTTCGGGCGTTCGCCGGTCTTCAGCTGGGCATTTAGACGGTTGAAGACATCGTACATATCTTGGCCAATGAACCAGTCGGAGTTTTCATGATTACTTTCCTCCTCGCTGTCCCAAATGAGCGCCCCCTCCAACATTGTCAATTTGCGGTTCATGTCAACTGTGAAGATGGTAACTTGTGAATGGGCGAGAACGCTCAAGAGCTGCTGCCGGGTTCGTCTGGCAGTCAGTTTTGCCTCGATGCCCTCGTTCACGTCAGTGCAAGTTCCAAACCACTTCTCAATTGCACCCGTCTCCTTGTTCTTCAACGGAAGAGCACGGCCCAACATCCACCTCCATTCCCCAGTTTTGCTGCGACACCTGTACTCAGTAACATATGGATCTCCTGTGGCGAGCGAGTGCTTCCATCTTTTGACGGTTTCAGGCATATCATCTGGATGGAAGGGGTGTTTCCAACCAAGACCTAATGAGTCTTCCGGCGTCAGGCCCGTGTATGTGTACCACCGGGTGTTGAAGAAATCGTGATAACCATCAGGCCTTGTCGTCCAAACCAATTGAGGCATTGTGTCGCAGATCAACTTGAACCGCTCCTCGTCCCGTTCTTTGATCTCGGTGATTTCTTCAGTCATCTTCGTGACGTCCCGGAATGTCACTACACCGGCGAGAAATTCTCCGGTAGCATCATCCCTGATGGCCTCTCCCAACGCGTCGTAAACTGTTTTCTTCCCGGTGTTCTCCTCCATCATCCCGACACGCATGTTGCTGAACGGCTTTTCAGTCCGAAGAAGTACCGAGATGGGGTATTCGCTGACGTCTAGTTCCCTAGTAAAATCTGCGTCGTACACGGTCCAGCTTGGCAGCAAGTCGAAGCCGTCGGCAGACTTCTCCAAATCGCTTTCTTGGCGCAAAAGGTTGCGTGCTGCCTTATTTGGAAATGTTACACTGCCGTCTTTCCACATCGCAAGGATTGGCATTGTCGTGTTATCAAGAAGAGCATCCTTCATGAGAATCATCTTCTGCAAAATCGACGGCGTACTCGCGTGAGCTGCTGTTGAGGGTGGGCCCATTGGTGGAAACGGGCTCGACGACAGTGACACCGCACTAGGGCTGACACGGAATGAAGGCGAGCTCGAGTCGTGGCTGGAGCTCACGGATGGCGGGTTTGAATTTGATATGGTTTTTCGGTCTGCTTGTTCCAGTATGTTCGGCCTGGCTGTAGATTTGCGACTCGGGATGAGGGTTGATGGGGGCGATTGAGAGCTCGTAAATGTGAGTGTGAAGTAAACCTGGTGCTCTTCAATCTCCCATATTGTTACAATCATCTTGGCGTAAACTTGATGATCAGACGCTCCACCTTTGCTTCGTGGGTCAAAGCCAGGCTTTCCTAGTTCCTTCCTGGTGATGATAACATCCACCACTGCATCCTTGACCGTTGGTGTGCTCGGCGCGTGATCCGGTGCCGGCGGAGCCAGCGAACCGGCGGTCGGGGTGGCTTCCCCACCCTGACCGAACATGTCTGCTGCGTCCTTGGAGGTCTGCCGGGCACCCATCTCCAACACAAGAGAATCCAAGAAAGCTTCCCATCCAACCCAAACTGGACGTCCTTCTTGAATCATGTCGATTCCGACCTGGGAAAGTGACTGCCCCCGTAACCGCTCTGCAATGTAAGAGTGAGTGTCCTCCGATGCGTCCGCCATACCGAGCATCCTGCCCATCGCCTCGTTGGCAAGCACTACTGTCTTTAAGTTGTTCAAGACCAACAACGGTACTGGTAGGTATTGCATGGCGGAGAAAGCAAGCTGGCCCGGTGTGATGAAGGGCATCGATAAGCGGAACGGACTCGTCGAGTTGGATCGCTTGCCGCTGCCGGCAGCCAGGTTGAGGTTCTCGCGGAAAAAGCGACTCCTGGCACTTGTGGCACTTGTAGTGCTTGCGACGCCATCGCTTCGGTAGGAACCGACTTCGGGCTGGGATTTGGTGTCGAAGTTGAATCCGCTGTCCATACTGTTCATGCTGTCAATGCTGTTCCCGGAAGACTGCCGTGAGCCCAACTTGGGAGGTTCTTCGGGCGGAACTGAGGTTTTTGGGGGAACAATCACGGGGCCGTTGCCTCGCGCATGGCCGCCGGCAAGTATAGGCTCGGGGGGTGGCATGTCGTTGTTGGCTCGCGCATGGGAAGCCGCAGGTCGTGGGTGAACCTTCCAGTCGGCGAAGGGCGTGGACAAGTCTGCAGGTCGAGAAAACAGTCGTTGCAGACGGTGATCGCAAACAGAGGTCGCCGAGGGTGGAGGAGTAACGGAGAAGCTGCGGGCCAGGTCGACGCAGCAAGTAGGCTGGTTGCTAGAGAATCGTGTGGGGAGAGAAGGCGAGGCAGAGCATGGCGCGGCGCCCTGTGTTGTGTGAGAGGGCGTGCGTTCTAGACTACCGGATTCTAGGCCGGTCTCCGGATAGGTCTTTGGTTGGGAATGTGCTCTAATTGATTGCGGTCTAGGCGGCGCGCGGTGGAGGGCGAAGATTGTGCGCAAGCGCTGTCTTGAGTGTGTGCGAGAGTGTGTGTCTGTTAGTCGACAAGCCTCCCGATTCCGTGTGGGACTAGCAGCTAGCAGGAAGAGAGCGACAACGGCGGCTGAGGCTGTCAGAGCTGGTGAAAGCGCAAGCAGATTTCGGCGCTATTCAGCAGAGGCGAGAGGAGGCGGAGGGAGGATTTGGGCGTTGTTTGGGATGAATTCTCGAACAACTCCGGGTCGACTGCAAACGGCGGCGTCGAGGGGCGGCGGCGGAGAGATGAAAGACGGAGTGGGAGGGTGTGCTTGTGTGACGACACCGTAGCGGCAGTCGCAGGAGCAGAGCAGCAGCAGCAGCAGAGCGGCGGCGGCAACAGCAAGACGTCGGGCTTAGTAAGGATGTCTCTGTCTCGCGGATGGGAAATCTGAAATCAGCGGATGGCGGGCTGGGGTCCGGAAGTGGTGTGGTGTGGTGAGGTCGTGTTGAGGTCGAGGTTGTGCGAGAGTCGTGGTCCAGTCGCGGAGCAGCAGGAGACGCAAGACGGAAAGAAAGAAGATGCAGGCGCAGGTGCGATGACGGGCTCGGTAGGGCAGTTACCGCTCATCAGTTCCAGTTCGAGCCCCAGATGTTTAGTCAAGGTGCACAGTAGTTCGCAGCAGTCGCGGTATCTGCAGTCTAGCTTGGCGCAATAAGAAAGGGAATAAGTGGCATAAGTGGAGGGACGTAATATGGGCGAGGGGAAATGGAATCGAAGGGAAGATTAGGTCCAATTGGTAGGTAGAAAAGAAGAGACGCCAACCAAGACCAAGATCATCAGTAGCAGCAATGGGAGGTGGACTAAGCGAGACGGAGGAAGAAGATGGAAGAGATGGGATGGGGATGGATCCCGTCACTGAGGTGCTACTACTGCTGCTGCTGAGAGAGGAAGAAGCACGAGAGGCAGGCAGAGGCAGGGTCAGGTAGGCAAGGTACCGTCTCCATAAGGTAAGGTAAGGTAGGCACGCAGCAGGCATTGAAGGTGAGGCAGGTACAAACTGACAGTAGGTAGCGCGGTGCAAAGAGGCGGTACAGATGGACAATTAGCTACCTAGGTAGGCAGGCAGGTTCGCTGCACCACCTTACCCTACCATCTTTACCTGCCCTAGCATTGGCATCGACAGTGACAGTTGCAGCAGGCAGTCAGACTGGACGAGGATGCGGACGAGGACGAGGGATGGGACCGTCATAGTCCAAACTTTGTTTAAGTGGGAGTGCCCCCCCGGTTAGCGGTGGTGAAGCGTCAAGACGCAGGAGAATTGGTCGAACCCCAGCCCAAAGTCTGGGGGGGCCTGTCACCGCAGCTTGGGGGTCCTGGGCGCCCAGGGCAATTCTTGGGAAGGAAACATGGACGGGGGTCCTGGAAGGGGAGGTTGGAACACTGGACAGTCCAAACAGTGGAACATGGACTCGACTGGAACCTGCGCCGATTGATTTGAATCCATCCACCCAGCAAGTCGCACTTCCGGTGGACTTGGGCTAACGCTGCGTTCGTGGCCCCAGGATGACGGGATGACGACGGGTGGGGAGAGGAGAGGACAGAGGACACAGAGGAGGAACGCTGAACACTGCGAACCCAGGGAAAGGCAAAGAGAAAGGCCCTTCCATTGCCGTGTCCAGTCAGTGTTCATTCGTGGTGGTGTAGCGCACAACATCGCCCGCCCGCCCGCTCAGTCGGTCTCCTCAGGCGGGGGAGGCAAACACTCATCGTCATTTTCACCCGAGCAGTTTCTGAGGGAGGTCGGAGGGCAACTCGGGGTTCACTGGGGAGAACATGTCGGCCATGTATCATGCCAGCACGAATACGCGGAGGCGGTACTCGTTCCTGGTTCCTCTGCTGGTCACTTGCGTGCAGTGGTATTACATAAGGCATTCTTGTATCCGAGGACCGCTAATGCATCTCACCTACAAGAATACGGGTCGAGAGGGGATGGGAAAGTGGGCAAATGTATGCAAAACTCCAGTCCGCCCTGCCATCGGGGGGATCGAATTCACTCACGCTTCACCACTCCTCACTGTCTCCGTACTCTACACCAGGCATGCTTGCCCAAGGCACCATCCACTGCCCTGCCGTGTCTGCACACCACCACCACAACTGCCACCACCACCCTCCCTCGCATGCAGCCTGCAGAACCAGGGGCCACCCTCGATTCGTACGGCGTTACAGCGGTTGACGCCCCACTGCAGACCGCTCTGTTGAGCCCTGCGCGCCCACTACAACGCCCTGCCCACCACCGTTCAGTGGGTCTGCCGTCCCTGTTCGCTGGAAAGTGTGCCCATCCATGGGCTGGCTCTCTGCGCTGGGCTGGCTGGCTGCCATGTCTGTACTGCGTACACGGGCTGTGCGTGCTGTAGACGCTCCTCACGCCGAGCTCGCAACTCTCCCTCTTCCTCCCGCCCGCCCATCCACCATCCACGCCTTCGATCCATCTCCGCCCACCCAGAACCTCAAAATCTTCACCTCCTCGCGGGGAATTCCCTTGCTGTTTCTGTAGCTCAGGGCACCACAGGCACCGTCACCATCGCCCGGGCAGGTTTCGCTATCGGTTAGGGGTCCCTCCTTTTCTCCTCATAATGGACCCAAGCTCCAACGTCCCGTCATTCCCAACGAGTATTGTCCACGCATGCCAACAGTACCTCATCTTGCTGCCGTGTGTCGCACCCACGCATGTAGTGTACATGTCTCGCGCAGCCCCTAGATGCTCGGCTGCATCCCCATCCGCCTCGGTAGGTTGGCCCTTCCAACGCCGGCCGCCCAGCGTTACCGATGTACACCTCGCCTCATGCACTAAACCGCCTCACGCCCAATCGACTCTCAGTGGCCAATCTTTGCTGGCGACCCCTTCTGTGTGCATGGAATCATCTGGGATTCTTTGCTGGGACACACCCACAAATCTCCACTGGCAGGCTGCAAGAATAAACGACCGGCACCAGAAATCATGAGATATTCAAACCGAACGAACCCAGAAGTTGGGATGGTTTGTCTGAGGAAACCCGTCACCCCTTCTTCCGCCTCGCCTTGCGTTGAGTCCCCTGTCCACTGCAGTATGGATCCTCATCGACACCGCCCGTCATCACGATCCCCGGGAGTCCGTATTACTGCGTGTGCTGAGCGGGTACGCGAGCCTTGTGTAGGAAAAGTCCGCAGCCATGACGGCATCGGAGGATCCAGCGGACAACGCGACCCTCGGAAACGGGGCGTCTCCGGACGTGAAATTTGAGAAAAATGGGCTGCCACGCCCACCTGTCCAAACCCCGGTGACGAAAGGGTGATGGGCGCTTCTTGCAGCAATAGACCCTGACCAGGCCCAAACCGAGACAGAAACACACCAAACTCAGGCCGATCTGTCCAACAATCGGAACTTTTTCCTTTCCACGGGCGGCACATTTGCTGATCTTCTCTTTGTCTCGAATTCGACGTCCCTGGCTCCGCTCCGTGCTTGTCTTGAATCGGTAACCCCAACCGGTCAAAAGTTTTCATGCCCGTGTTTGCCGTTTGTTTGCCCAGAAGCTTATTCAGTCGGTGAGCGTCGTCTCAGGAAACGACAGAGGAAGAAGAAAATACTCTTTGTCGGGTGCGTATACACCAATCCGTCAGAGACAGAAAGCTTAGCTTGCTGCCTTTGCCGCTGGGCCTCGATGGCGATTGTGCCAAGACTGCTGGACGACTGCCGGAGTTTGATAGAGTCAGGCAAGAGCGACGGCTGAGTGGATTTGAGAGCTGCCCGTATGTACTCCCGGGCACACTAGGCATTTACCACAAGCCCCGAGTCGGGCTGGGGACAGCCAGAGAGCTTGGTAGCGAGCCTGCAAACTTGGTCTTAGCCCGCCACCCTTGTCACGAACTGCTCTATCCATACAGAGAGATTCACGATGGCCGACTCTCAGCGAATGATGAATGTACCTCATCATCGACTCCAATGTCTTCGCGGCGTCGCTTATCCGGGTGATCCCGTCAGCCGGGCGTTTGACCGGCATCGTGGTGGTTGCTCCTTCAGCATCAATGCACTGGGATTTGTCTGGCATCCTTCAAGGAAACGCAGGCTGTTCGGTTCGTCGTGTTTGCGGCAAATTGCATATCTGAGGTGCGCGCGTGACTGCGACTGCTGCGACATGATCAGCTCTCGGTGAGTCCTTTTCCAGCTTTCAGCACCCATCCACTGCGAATGAATACCTGCCAGTGCTTGCCTCCTACACTGGATTCGGATAAACGCAAAAGATGGCTCTGACTATCCTCACCCAGCGTGGTTTGGTGACAAATTTGCCCTGCGTCTAGACCTCACGGCCTCTCCATCGATCGAAGATCTGCCACCCGAACAGGTCTAGCTTGAAAGCACTCAAGACGCCTAGACCGGGATGGCCACAGACGCGACCAGGGCCCTGATGGTTCTCTCCATATCGGTGCGCCATCAGTGCCACACGAGCTCTACGGAATAACGCAGATCATTTGACCCTGGCAGCCAGTCAGAGCCAATCAAGACAACGGGGAACGACTCCGTTCCGAACAGCTTTGCTGCCCGAGCGTGTCAGCAGCGACGTCATGATGCCATAAGCAGGCATTTGGGTGCACTGGTGTCGCATCAAGCAATCAGGATTGGCCCAGACCACGCCAATCCCTCGACATGTTCTCGAAAGTTGTGCGTGCGAAGCAACGCCAAGTGGCCTGTGCTGGCTTTGTTTGACATGTGCCCGGAGCGTGCCAACCGTGCCATTCGTTCCATGACTCGACTTCACATTTATCTGTCTTGCCAACAAAGCCCTAGCTCCAAGGGAGTGTTTACAACCTCCACAAGCCACCCATTATGTCATTTCGTCCGGAGTGCGTCGCAATTGTCGATTTCTCGCCTCAAATAAATCATACAGCATGATGTAGTGTAGGCTGCGCGGCTCTATTCAGCTTGCAAGGGTATCATCGACCATGTCGTCATTTGGACCCTGAAAGTTCCAGAGGACCCCTTCTCTTCTTCCGTTGGGGGATGTCAGAGTTCGTCTCGGCCTCGCTTCTTCAGACTTCCCCGCTCTTTCAAGCGGAATTATCCTTCATCACTCCACACGTTGAACACGTCCACCACTGTCTTTCCATGGTCGTGCCGCAAAAGGAACAATCCCAAGTCAGGGGTTTCGCCGGGGCTGGTACACCGTGGTTGGCAGCAACGCCGACGCTATTGTTTCTCCTTGGCGGGCTGCGTGTAAGATCTATCGTCTCTGGCTGTGATGTTCCACCCGCCGTTGAGGCTACTGATGCCCGTTGACGCTCGCGCTTCTCGGCATTTGGCGTCCACACTCGGCGCTGAGGATCTTGGCCTTTTTCTGTTCCACACGCGTCGCAGCATAGGAAGTTGGCAGGATTATGTAGAGTACAGACCCCGCACGTCCAACCCCGTTGCTGAGCTGGCAGGGGCCGTGGGGCTGCGATCACCGGCGGTCGGGTTTCGGGCCTCGGCACCGGCGGCGGGGGCGTAGGTCTGGATGCCGGTCCGGGGATCGGAGGTGGCGCGCTGTTGCTTCTCGGTTCGAAGTCTCCCATGACGGACCCACCCCCGTTGCCGGTAGGATTTTGAGCACTCGGAGGGACGTAGTAGCCTCCATAACGCTGCTTTTCCTCCTCCTGCACGAGTTCCCAGAGTGCCTGAGCGATTGCTGCTTCATTTGCAGCGTCCTCTTCGGCTTGAGTACGGAAGCCGTTTCGCGTTGCAATCTCTGAAATTTGCTGAATCTCTCGGTCATTGTGGTTCATGTTCCCACAACCCTGTAAAGTGCTGCTTCTGCGCTCGATAGCACCGACAATCGTTCGCCTAATGTCTGATCCGGGACGAGGCCCAGTACCGCCAAGGCGTTTTCCCGAATTCTTGGTCAAGGTACGACGTTTCTCGGCAGCCGCCCGGGCAAGGCGGCGAGCTTCTTGCATTGGAATCCGGCCGCCGCCTCCCAAGCGTTGGCCATCGGAGAGGAAACCTTCGCCCGTGTACCCTTTCCGTATGAGTGCCTCGTGCTCATCCCGTAGCTGGTTCCACAGAGCATGGAAGTTTCCGTCGTGTGGTCCAAAGACAATGTGGGAGAGCTCGTGGAGCATGGTGTCGACGACCTGCTCTATGGGGAGAAACAAAGATCGGTCGCCGGGATATCGCAATCGGACCAGAATTCTCTGCCCTCTGTTGACGTTGAGGCCTGCAATAGTGTTAGTTGGCGGGAAGCAACTGCAGGCAAAACCACATACCAAGCAAATTCGCCTGATCAGGGTAGAACTCTGCAAGCTCCCGCACCTTCCAACCCCTCGCCCGCATGATGGGCTTCACCAGAGAGGCAACTTTCTTGAGGATTTGGAAGGCATCGCTGGCCCGCGGAAAGTCCACCAGGTGGGAGTATGAAAGAATGAGAGCATCATGTTCAGGCATGTTGGCTGTAGTCTTGCCCGCGGCCCGGTCAAAAACGTGGTATGTCCGCAATGTTGTGTAAGCCGAAGATGGAGTGACGTCGGTGAAGGTTTTCAGGGACGCCGCCCGCAGAGAAGCAGTAAAGGAGACAAGGAAAGTCAGGAAAGAGAAAACAACAGGGGTATCGAATGGAAAGCGATGCACATCGCCGAAAGTTGTATAGAAACGCCCAGAAAGAGAGTCATTCGCATCGTAAGCAGTAGGCGACACGCACGAAGACGCGTAAGGCTTGATGCCTCCCGGTGATAAGGCGTTGGTGGCCAGCAAGGCAGTGTAGCTTGGCGGTGAATGTTGGGCAGGTGACTCGCGCCGGACGTCCAGCTCACAAAAACCCAGGCGGGGGCGGGGTGCCTGATGACTCAGCTTCAGCGGCTGTCGGGCAGTGACATGCTCTCCCTCCCGCCTTCCGCCTTCGGGTGGTCGATTCAGCTGTCAAATATGGAAGTGGCGTTGACCTTGTCACCTTACCCATGAACCAACTTTGTCGACGAACCCTGAATCACCAAAATTCCAGTCACCATTGGCCGGCTGACCGAGCCACGCAGCGGAATGTTGGAAGCTCGGAAAACCTGATGTGGTGCAGCCAGATGTTGGCGCGGCAGATCGCTGCGAGTTAATCTCTGCAAGACATCTCTGCCCTGTTTTGTCCAAGTGACTACACCATCGGTTCGCTTGCGCTTACTTCAAATCCGACGACCTCCCTTCGACAACGAATTCCTTGAATGCCGACTTGGCATCGGGAAACTGGGCCGGCGCCGGTTCATATGACCATTTACTTAAGGACAACATTCCAGCTCGTGTCTGGATCTTTCGTGCGGCAGTTGCCGACTGTGAAACCCCGTCGTGCCATCAAGTAACCTCACGTCTGCCAACTTTTCCAACCTTGGAATATGCGCAGCTTTTCGTCCAAGTTGGAAGAGGACCAAATCCCAACTGGGCTTACCAGCTGAGTGGCCAAGTGGTTGTCCAAGTCAGACGAGCTGATGATATCCAGGACGGAGACGCTGTTTCAGTAATGCATGAATCCCGCCCGCATCCCGACCGGCACCCCCATTGGGCTGCGGCGCTGCCAATCCTGACATGGACAAACCACAATCAAAAACGCCTATTTTTCGTCGCATCTCGCCAGCAACTTCAGATGATGGGTCTCGTCGCTGAGAAACCCGAAACGACGGGTTCACGAAGGTCGGTTACGGAGCCGGAGACGCATGCCCTTTAAGTGAACCCTCCCATGACGCCTCCCGTGACGACTCCGGAAGTTCGGCATCACGACTTGGTCGGCTCTGCGGACAGGGGTCGCATGCCCGACTCACAGTGTTTCGGAAGCCAAGCATACGGCCACCACACCGGGCCGCCGTCTTCAGAAGACAGTGCCCGCGAAGAATCTATTTGAGATGGCATGCCTGATCGACTGTCGCAGGTTGTCTACGGATGCGCCTCTTCAATGGCGGTCGACCCGGTCTCCTACCAGTAAAACTCGAACCATTCTGTACCCCTGGTCTCTCGTCTCCGCAGACATGGCGGATTCTTCTTTTCTATTTGCGATTCGTAATCGCTTGGGTTGAGATCTCCCACTTGCGACTGCGCAATCGCGCATTTCGAAACGGTCTCCCCGAAGCTGATCTATGCGTGGGCAAGATGGAGAATCACACTTGGCAAAAGCTTGTGTGCATATCTTCCCTTGGCTCTCCGCAATTCAAGCATTGTTGGTTCCATGCTTCCTTCTGCTTAGACGACTTCTTTGCTTTTCGCTTGTTTCCCGTATAGAGCTCCGTGAGCCTTAATCGCCGGGCTTCATTCCTTCGCCAGGCCTTCTCTTCTCTAGGTGACCATGCGGTTCGCCAACTCGGCTGCGATTGCAGCATTCGTTCCATTCTTTGCCCATCTTGCTGATGCGGCTCCTTCAAAGAAGTCCGATATCTCCAGGTTTGAGATTTCCACTCTAGGTGGCGGGGCTTTCCGGATAGAACAGGTTCCCAACCCCGATTTTTACTATGGAAATCGACGAGGACCCATTGCCCTGGCCAGAGCCTATTCCAAGTTCAACCATCCCATTCCGGATGATCTCCTAGGTCTCATTGATCAGATTCTGGGAGAACTAGGCCTGTTGAACGGATCGAAAGGCGGACACAAAGGAGGAAAGGGAAAGGGAAATGGGAGTGGGAAGGGTGGTAACAACGGCTCTGGAGGCTCAAAGGGCAACGGCACAACCACAACGCCAGGGGCGGGGGGCAATGGCACCACAGGAAATGGTTAGTTTGCAATTCTATTACCCTAAACTATGCTGATGGTCATTAGGTGGTGAGGTCGCCGCCATCCCGGCCCAGTTCGACAGCCAGTACCTCTGCCCGGTACAAATTGGCACACCTCCTCAGACCTTAAACCTCAACTTCGACACCGGCTCTTCCGACTTGTGGGTGTTCAGTAGTGAGACGCCCGCAAGCCAAGTAGGGGGTCAAACGATCTACAAGATCAAGGACAGTTCAACCGCCAATGCTGTGACTGGCGCGACATGGTCCATCTCGTACGGTGACGGCAGCTCATCCAGCGGTTCAGTCTACACGGACAAGGTGACCATCGGCGGGGTCACAGTCGACAGCCAGGCCATTGAGTCTGCCAATACAGTCTCGGCATCCTTCACCAGCAACCAGAACCAGTCAGGACTCGTTGGTCTGGCCTTCGGAACCATTAACACAGTCACACCCACCAAGCAGAAGACATTCTTCGAGAATGCCTTGAACAACCTCGCCATGCCGCTTTTCACTGCCAACCTCAAGAAGGGCGCAGGTATTTGAAACCTCTCTCCAGTCGCCAAGTTCTCAGACTAATCATCCCAACAGCTGGTAACTACAACTTTGGCTACATCGACACGACAGAGTTCACCGGCGACATCGCCTTCGTTCCGGCCAACACAACCCAGGGTTTCTGGCAATTCACCGCCCAAGGCTTCTCCGTCGGCTCAAACGGCAGCGCCGCAACCTCCGCGCCCCACCAAGCCATCGCCGACACGGGCACGACCCTGATGCTCCTCCCAGACAACATCGTCTCGGCGTACTACAAGAACATCGCCAGCGCCCAGTTCGACAACACCAACGGCGGCTACGTCTTCAACTGCAAGGACTCGATCCCGTCCTTCACCGTCGATATGGGCACCTACAAGGGTGTAGTCCCCGGCGAGTTCATCAAGTTCGCCCCCGTGGACGGCCAGACAATTGAGACGTCGACGACGTGCTTCGGCGGGATCCAGAGCGCGGCGACGCTGCCCTTTGCGATCTACGGAGATGTGTTCCTGAAAAGTCAGTTCGTCGTCTTTAGTTCAAAAAGCGGTACCAACGAGCTTGGATTCGCGAACAAGCCGTTGTGATAGACCATAGACCATGATATAGCAGTCGGGCAAGGCATCGCGAACAGCTGGATGCCCCGGCATAGATGGTTCTGTTTGGATGGTTCATGCATCGTTAGCACCACACGTCAACGAAATGTTACGACAGCGTTCAGGTTTGAAGATAGATACAGAAATAAACATACATAATGTTGCCTGTTTGCTACTGTCCACCACCTCGCTGTCTCATCGTCGACCACCTGTACCATTAGTTACGTTAATACCGATCGGGATGCCACAAAGCCCTGCAGGAGCACTCTTCAAGTCAGCTTCTGTAGCGTATATATACTGGTGCAGCCTGGGATCGGATATGACGATCAGGCAACCAGTGGGCTCTAGTTCGCTTTTTTCTCTCATTGGACAATCACGAGCTCTGTTCAACAGCCACCAGATAGTTATGGCAGAACATTACAACATCGACGTCGAACTCTTGCTCTTGAAATCTGTCGTCCGCCAACGAATTCGTCGTATTCTTCCTCAATAAACTCGTAATACCTAAACAGTTCGCATTGACTTCACACGCAGGAGGGCGGCAAGGCTTGGTACGTAAGAAAGATTTGTTTGCCGAGTATGACTTATATAACGGCCATCCTTCTGATATGACAGCCTTGATCGTAATGGACGGAAGACGAAGGTTCTCGCCAATTGCACAAACCGTGTGAACTTCTACCAAGTATACTCCCTGTCGGTTTGTCTCAGCGGTCTGTTTAGTGGCGATACACTTGGCTTGTTAACCTGCGGTCCAAGTATTCGGATATTGATTGCGAATGTTTCCGCATCCCGCGGCAAAGTTGTTCGGGAAGGTGATCAGACTTCTATCGATATCGGGACTTGCATTACGCGCTAGACATCGTCGACCGACCCTCTCATCGCGAGGCCTTAAACAGGAGGATACAGGCGCCGCCCCTCGTGCTTTGGGCGGTCCTCCTACAGAATTCCGGCCGTTCTCGTTGCGTATTCAAGGAATCCATTGGTACATCACGTCAACCTTCAAACAATGACATGAGCGCAGTCCGTATTCAATGCATTGATCTCTCATCTTGGAGTAGAGTAGAGCGGCAATCTAGGCGCGCTCTCGGAGATGAAATTCCGTTCGTCAATCTCTCCTCGCGTATTCAGCCGGTTGTTTCAAAGACAGAGATCATGCGGGACAATATTTCGTCATTGTGTGGTGACGATATTCTTGCTCAACGACAGTCTGACTCGTACAGGTTGTAAGTAGGCAAAAGATTTGGTCAGGAGAAGTACCTGACAATTTTCGCGTTCGCAGCAACAATCAAATCGATCTTTGATTTTGTTACATTTGGCTAATACCAGTTGAAATAAATATTCGAACCTTGACTTGGCCCTTGGTGTCACTCCCCAGCGACATCCCAGCCAACCCCTACACCGGCAGTCGAAGGTACTATCACATCGTCAGCATTTCCTTGAATCTTCCCAATTTCGCAGACACGTAGACTAACCCATCGCTTCTTAGTCAAAGTCATAAGCTTGGCTGTTGCACTGAGCGCGCCCGTTGGCAGTGAAGTAGCCGATACACTCGGAGAGGCCGCCAGCGCTGCACTTGACGTCGTCGCCGTACCGCGCGGCGTTTTTGCAGACTTCCTCGCAGCTGTGGGCGTACGTCGAGGTCGTGCAGCAGTGGGACCCGTCCGTGAACTTGCACTGGCAGTAGTCACAGGCCTGTACCGCTAGTGTCATGGCTAGCATGGCAAACACGGATTGGATGAGGCGGACCATTGCGAGCTCTTGCTCAAAATAGGATCTTTGAAGGAGGGAAGGTGGATGACGGTGGAGACGGGCTGGTTGTTGGGGAAGAGGTGTGTCTGAGGTTATCTGCAGGAGCTACAGGAGTCTTTTTGGCGGCGTTGTGAATACTTCCTTATATATCTAGGTGGCACATGCTGCTTTTCGTATTTTATACGTCGATTTTAGCATCACGAAGTGGCGTGTCCGATATCAGTTGCTATGTTTCTCGTTTCGAGTCATGTTGATGCTTGTCCATCTCTCGGGCTTGCCCCAGATTCTTCAACTTTTGGAAAGAGGCAGTCTTCGGCACGATGTGGGGAAGAAACAACCCCAAAAGAACAGCCGCTCGAGCACGTGGGAGAGATGTTGGTCTGTAACGACTGGAGATGAATGTCGAAGCCCGCAAGCCAACAGTTCCAGTAACGTAACAACAATGCTCATTAGGGATGAGCAGAAACGTGGTGATGGAGTCATTTGCACCTGGCACTTCGTTGGACCAAGCACGTGCCTTGAAATTGTGAGCGGCGAGAAGAATCGGCGATTTTTGACCTGCGGTTGTCCATGGAGTATGGTGTAAAGCGTCATTCCGAGCCGGCGCGGCAATGATAACACGTTTGAAGAATCTCTTGGATTGAATTGCATATACGAAGCTACTGGCTCTACTCTTGCAGCCATGGAAGGTGCAGTATATCCCTGCTGGCCCTGACCTCGGCCACCTGCAACACTCCAATCTATTCTATCCTGCTGACACATTTCCCGAAAGCCCAGATCTGCCTGCAGTGCACGCATGTCTTGATGATATAAGCTAGACGAGCTCCCTCCGCCAACTAACGCCAATGCCTGCCTGCCCCCGGTGACCGCTCTATTTCTGACTGTTCAAGAAACTGAGATACGAGTTCCATCCGATGCTGATGACGTTGACGAACAGGACCCGGTGGTGAAGCGGAACCAGCTTGAAGTTGACCATCTGCACAAAGGGCCACAGCATGTAGTTGGATGTGAGCGCCGTCGTGTAGCTCTTCTCGAGCTTCTCCTGGGGAGGGACGCCCTCGAGGACGGCCATGGAGGACAGGAAGACGCCGATCATAACCGGTGCGAAGACACCTTGGTCGACACCGACGCGGGCGAGGATCTCGAGGTTCTTGTTGCGAAGAACGACGTTGTTCTGGAGGAACTTGAACCAGGTCGTGGCGGCGGGGCCGAAGATGGCTGGTGAAGTCAGCATGGGCCAGAGGTTTCGCTCGGAAGCAGGGCATCGAACTCACTTCCACCGTAGAGGGCCATGCGGCCGGTGCGAGCCCACTCATGCTTCTCGAGGCCGCGCTTCTCAACGAGCTGCTGGGCGGTGAGGTCACCGGTGGCGAAGAGGATGGCGGTGGTGATGCTCTGGGTGAGCAGCGGGCGGGCCGCAAGTCGTGCTTGATACCTGTGGAGACAGTCAGTGATGCGATTCAGCGTTATCAGTTTTGAGATGAGGCTCACCAGCCGAGCATTGTGAAGGTCGTTGGAGATTGGTGGAAAAACCGAGCTGATAAGGCTGGATTTAGGGGTTCAATCCAGTTGAAAAGCGACGAAGAAAAAAGACGCCTAATACAATGTGGGAACTTTGATCAGGGCCACAGAAAGAAACAGGTCGTGAGCGAGTGAATTGAGGCTGGGCGATGTGAATTGGTCGGTTAGGGAGGGTGAGAGGTGAGAGGCGCGCTTCAAGATTTGGAGGGTGCTGCCCCAGCAAGGAAGGTGGATGACGATCGGTAGCTTCTGTTTGCTGCACGTGACGGCAAAGCTCTTTCTATCTGGCTTGAATGGAATGGTGCAATCACAAGGACAGGTGAAAATCAATGGGAATCTAGAACATCTGGAAAAAGAAACGACTTTGATCTGACAGTGAGGCGGGAAGCTCTGGTTTAAGCTCCTGCCCAAGATTCAGGGAATATGGGATTTACTACTCGGGGCCTTCGCGATAAGGGACTTTTCCTTCTCTCGCAGCCAGATGCTGGATTGACCACGAGTCGGGACTTCCAAAAGCAGATCTCCGTTCCAGCGCGTAATGCAATACTCGGGGCCATGTTCCATCCGGCCAGTCTTCCCCGAAGCCCCACGATGTCCATATCCACAATCTGGGGTGCAGGAATGAGGTTTGGCCGAATGATCATTCCCAAGCTTTTTGATCCCATTTCACAGCTTGGAGTTGGGGTTTGCTTTGCCCGTGGTCGTTGAGCAAGGCGTCAATCATGAAAATCTAGGTACAATCAGACGAAAAGGCGGAGATTTTCGACAGGCAAAAAGCCAACGCGACCTCGTCGTCGCTGCCAGACGCGTCTCGGGCTCGGGGCGTTGCTGACTTCCGCCCGCCTAGGCGATGTTGCTTGCCAGTATTCAACGAGCGATCTTTCACTTCAGCCTCGACGTCGTCACCTGTCGTTATTGACCTTCGAACCACACCTGCAAGCACCACCTGAAATTCAGCCCAAAAGACTGCGTCTTCTTCATACCGCTGCGCGAGGCAACGGATACAATGAAAACGATGGATATATCAAAAATTGCACCCACGATGGCCCCGAAGGGCAATCGAGAGAGGTCGACTCCGCGATGTGCAATGCAGGCCTCCCTCTCTGCCGCCCGGATTTCTTGATCCTCAGAAACGGCCAGATAAGGTAAGTATGAAGAAAAGAAGAATTAAAACAAGCAAAGGTGGGAGACTGGCGAGGTTTATATAGATTTTCGCGAGTGGCCCGCAATCAGTAGATCGGTACGTACCATAGGTGCCTGAGGTGCGGGTGAGGCCTTCCAGGTCACGCCCACCTTCTGCCTGAGGTGGGAAGGCAAGCGAGATGCATGAGGCAACCCGAGGTACCTTAGGTAAGAGAAGGTGCAAGCAGCTGGTGCCTGCTTTGTCGTTTCAAATGACCCTGATAGCTAGATAAAGGCCGCAAAGTGGTGCTGCGCTGGAGCTAGGGGATGAAGATGGATGGCAGACGCCTCTCGGGATGACTTCTCAGCCTGCCCCTTGGGAAGGACGCAACGGACGGCACACCTCCCTCAACCGCTGACAAGGCAGTAATCTGCAACGCGAAAGACGTTGCCCTGAGCCAGGCTATCTGCACCCAATCATCTGATGCTGATCCGAATGACGGGAATCGTCGGTAGACCGAAGATGGGTATTGGTAGCTTTAATGGTCCGGGCAGCTCATCGGTGGTTGTCGCCATTGCGGCTCATCGGGAGCTGCGAACCCCGCCCCATCTCGGTGTGGCCAATGAGCTCTGGTGGTGGGGAAGATGAGGAGAAACTCCGGACGATGGGGAGTGGTAAGGTAGATCTCACAGGAACAAACTGACTTGATGCCTGGAACGATGAGTCCGGCATAGGTGATTGGGACTCATGAACACAAAGTGCTACGTCGACAGAATCACAGTTCACACAACGTCGTTGGGCGCAACTTCTCTTATCGTCGACTACCGCGGGAGTCTCCTCGTGTGGGTTCTGACCTTTCTCATCAACTCCACCGTACTACCAAGCAGGGCCGGGATCCTTCGGGGGCACCCTCAGAGCCGCTGCAACGTTGCAAGCCGCACCTAGTGCGTGAGTATCTACCCTGCGGCTCTTGACATCTCGGTGGTCGCATTCAGCATACTTCGTACATTTAGTTGATCGGGATTCAAGACCACCTCTTGTATGACCTTCTAGGATCAAAGCAATATCCAACGATGACAGCCTCAAACCTGCTCGAACGACTCAACCGCGATGGTTTCGTTGTTGTTCCCTCGATTCTGTCCGAGGGACAGCTCGCAAAGCTCCGGGAGGCAACCCAAGCAGCTACGGCGATGGCCCGGGCCGGCAAATGGCCCAATGTACGCACACTCCCGAAGCAGTTTCCGCCATGGCCGCTCGCCGGCCCCGAGCCGCCTGCGGAGGGCATCTGGGGCGTGCAGGGAATGATGCACCCGGACATGCCCAACAACGATGTCTTCATCCGAACCTATTTCTCCGATGCTGTCATTGAGCCAACCAAGCAGCTCTTGCAGTGCACTGACGATGACCTCGTCATGGAGCTCTTCAACTTGCTTATCCGGCCGGACCACGACTTCGAACTGCGATGGCATCGAGACGATATCCCGGCGACAGCCACTGCTGACGAGGAGCTTGATCGTCTCAATAAGCCAGCCTATTCAGCGCAGTGGAACCTCGCCTTGTATGACGACGCTAGCCTTATCGTTGTGCCTGGATCACATACCAGAGCCAGGACGGACGTGGAGCGCAACGCGGATCCATACGAGAAGGAGATTCCGAACCAGCTGCTAGTGGAGCTCAAGGCGGGAGACATTGTGTTCTACAACAACAATATTCTACATCGCGGGGCTTACGTTGCTAGCAAGGAGCGAATGACACTCCACGGAAGCGCCGGTCATGTGAATGGTAGCACTCTGCGGGCGCGTAATGTATTGCAACACGGACTGAAGGGCTGGGCAGATAAGATTGACCTCGGTGTGCTGGACGAGAAGGAGCGGGCTCGGGCTGAAAACATGCGGAGAATGCTTGTCAAGCTGGGCCAGGAAGCGGGGGAGGTGGGATATTCCCTCGAAGGGTAGGAGAGATAAAGAGATAATGGATCGTCTTACAAGACAATGTGCCGAGTCCATGCAAGTAATGCTGCACTTCCAAGGACGAGAGGGACGAGAGGCTGGGTTGTGTTGGAGACTGACCAGCGGTGTGTCACAGCTAGCTGGGCGGTGACTTGGAATTGCGCTAGTGTTGGTCATGCACATCGGCGCTTGTGATCCCGTGACCGTCTACCATGAGCCCATCCCCAATAACAGTAAAAAGAGGACCATGTTCGGTGAGAGGTTCTGGAACAAACACTTGCGTCATTCCTGGAGAATTAACAACCGCTGCCGTCTTCCAGACTGAACGTTCTATTGTTTCATCCTAAGCTTAACAGTAATTTACATAGCGCTTAGAAGGGTAGCTATTAAATTGATAGGGTCGTTTTATTATTTTGCCTGATCTGACTAAATTAAGCACTTAAATAGGTTAATATAGCTATACTATAGTAATCCCACTAAAGTCTAATATACTTAAGTTTTTAAGTATAAGTACTTTTAGCTAAACGCTTAAAACTATAAAACCATACTTAGCTAAATCTTAGCTCTCTGATTAGCCTAAATTAGCTAAAGTTTCACTAAGTTATTAAATAATTTAAAAACTCCTTAGATTAAAATAATTTAAAACTTAAAAGTTAGTTTTTTTAATTTTAATTAAAAACCTATTATATTACATAACTTTTAGTAGTTAGGTGTAAAAAAGTACATAAATAATTATTTACAGCTACTTCTAAATTTATAGTCTTAGTAGTAGTTATATCTATTTTAGTAGCTATGTTAATAATAGTAATTATAATAATAGTATTAAAAAGATAGCTTATTATAATAGTAATAGTAATTTTAGCTATAAAAGCTAGTTTTACTATTATAATACAATAAATACTTATTAACATTAAAAATCTTCTTATTATTATATTAGTAATATATCTTCTTATTACTATTATAATTATTTAAGATTAATTTATTATTATTAATAGAGAACTTAATAACTAGTAAGAGCTTTAATAGAGGTAGTAAGAGTAGTTATTATACTATAAAGCTTTATAATCTTACTTATTATTTATTTTAGCTTTTAAGATATATTTTTATTATTACCCCTACTTATTTAACTTATAGCTAATATTAATATTATTAAAGCTTATAATATAAGTATAAACCTCTAAGAAACTTTATAAGCTTTTTAAATAGAAAGTATATATTAAGTATTATTCAAGTTAACTATAAAGGAAGCCTTATTATTAGAAAAGTTAGGATTATAATATTAGCGCTAAGTATTTCTTAGAATAATATTCAAGTTAAGCTTAAAAGTAAGTTATTTAATCTTAATTAATTTAAACTAGAGATATTAGTAAAAAGTTAATAATTAATAGACTGAAATATTTATATTACTCTAATTAAAGCGCTAATAGTTATTAATATTTTTAATATAGAAAACCTTATTATTACTACTATATAGTTAATCTAAGAGGGTATAATAATAAAATAAACCTTATTACTTCTAAAAAGTATTAGTTAATAGTTTTAGGTTTCTCTTTAATATATTTAAATAAAGCTAATATATCTAAAAAACAAATACTATTAATCTTATTATTATTACTATATTATATTATATCGTAAGGTATATTAACCCTCTTAATAAGTTTATTTAAAAAAAAACCAAGTTAATAATAATAAGCTATAGTTTTCCTACTAAAGGTAATACTACTAGTTATATATATCTGATAAGCTAACTTTATAGCTTTCCTACTTAAGAAAATTTATAATATTGTATAACGTTAAGGTATTTACTATAGAAAACTTCTTAATATAATTAAAGAGGCTTCTTTTAAGAAAGCTACTAGAGGTTTTTATAGCTTACTTAACCTTATTAACACTAAGTTTTTAAAAAGCTAGAATTATATTAAACTAACATTAAGAGGTAATAAAGTAGTTATAATACTTAAAACTATTAAGAACCTCTCATATTTAGATCTTCATAATAGTAATATATTAAATTTTACTTTTAAACTAACAGTTATATTACTTAATATAGCTTTTTTGCTTTAATAAAATTAAAACGTATTTACTTTTATAATTATAAATAATATTATATTAATTACTACTATTAGAGATCTTCTTTTTATATATAGTAAAGCCTTTAGTATAAAGAGCAATATAAATATATAACTAGTACTTTTAAAAAATAAGAGCTTAGATCTACGTATTAAATACTACTATAGTCTTAAAAAAATAAAATATATAAAGAAAATAATAATTTAATATACCTCAGAGATAAATAACATAATAGAGGCCTCTAGTAGGCCTAATTTCGCTTCTAAATAGAGGTATATATATAAGTAGGGGTCTTTTTAGCTAAGTTAGTAGCGTTAATGTTAGTAAGTTATATTATAAGAGGGTAGTACTTAGAGGGGTAGATTAATCGTAGCAGCAGTAGCGCAGCAGCTAAATTAGGCTAGCGCAGGCAAATTAACAAAACAACCCCATCAATTTAACAGTAACCCTTAGAAGGGCCTGGGAGAAAGGCGAGTGTGGTCTGTGCGCACGTGTGATGCCTAAGTAACCAGGTATCTGTGGATGTGAGCTTTTCCCGTTCTGCGGCCAAATCCGGGTTTGCCAACCATCAACCGACTCTGTCGCCTCAAATCTCCTCAACCACCTCCCAAAACACGGTCACCTCCCCCGATCGCTCGATACCCCCTCACTGGCGACAATGTTGCCCTCATCGGTGCGGCGCGTGGTCGCCTCGGCCCCTCAGTCGCCCCTCGTCTCCTCCCTCAGCACCTCCGCTCCGAGAGCGGCTGCGACCTTCAACCTCCAACAGGTCCAGAGACCCGGCGGCCACCAGAGACGATGGTCCTCTTCGAGTCCCTCGAGTCCGAACAACAACGGCTCCAAGGAGACACCCGCCGGCCAGAACGTCCACGCCTCGGCGTCAAGCTCGAACGCCAAGGCCAGCGGCGAGAAGCGGAAACGGAAGAGCAAGGACAGCGCCAACAGAGATGCTGCGCAAAAGCTGCCCAGCGTGCCTAGCACACAACACCTGTCGCAAGAGGGTATGTCTTGAGTCCGAAATGGTATCAATAAGGATCACACTGACTGGTTGCTCGCAGCCCTGGGACTGTCGACCTTCTTCTCCCTCCACCGGCCGATATCAGTGACCCACAGCATGCCCAAGAGTGTCACCGAAGAGGCTTTCGCCGCCATTTTCAAGCCTCGAACCCGCGCCAACAAGACCGCCGATGTCATCAACACGCTATCAAGGACGGCCGACGATATCGAGGGCGCTATGGCGAAGATGACCGTCACAAACCAGGAGGTCGATGCGTCAGGCGAGCCTGTCCAGAAGATTGACCTCAAGCACGCCGACGGCAGCGAGTCGAGCGTCTATGTCCAGCTGAATGCCATGGCCGGACAATTCGTTCCCTTCCGCCCTCCCCCAGCGCCTCAGCAGGAGGGTGTCACCGATGCCCACGCCGAGTCCGCCGTTGAGGACGTAGTTGACGATGCCCCCCACCACCGCGTCTACAAGGCCATGTTCACGATCGAGGAGAGCACCGACGCCGACGGACAGATCCAGGTCCTCGCCCACAGCCCCAAGATCATGAACGAGGAGGCCCCGCGCTCGTTCCTCGAGCGCATGGCCCAGCGCCAGATGAGATTCGACGAGGCGCAAGGCAACGACACCATGCACGCCCTTAGTGTTAGACGTCAGCGCAAGCTCAAGATGAAGAAGCACAAGTACAAGAAGCTGATGAGGCGTACGCGCAACCTGCGTCGCAAGCTAGACAGAATATAAGCTGGTGGTGGCTGTATATACAAGCCCACGGTTTTCTTCACTTTTCTTCTTACGCATTTCGGGAAATGGGTCTCTCATAATTGGTGTTCGGCCTAGCATAAACGCTGTCTCCTTTTTCCTTGGTCATCATTACGACTACATAGAAAGCGAGACATTTGCATCAGATAGCAATGATCAACTGTTGCATCACTCATGACCACGCCGTGTCCCCAAGAGAGACTCAGAGCCTGCTCAAAGCCAAAGACATCCTGTAACAACAAGAAGTGTATTAGTAGCTACATGAGGAAGGAGGAAATTCACGGCTTCAAGATTCTCATGACTTGCTCCTTATCTTGAGCGATCGTACGTGACTTGGGTGGTGATCTTACCAGGCGTGGCTGGTCACACAGTAGTGGGGTGGTCCTAGCGGGAAAACTTGCTGCACCCCACCACCAGTGTCCACCAGCGAGCTGACCGCCCGGCAGAAAATGTTCTCTCCGCCAAATTTTTGGTTTTCTTAAGGTCTGCGACGCCCGTGAGTTTGCGCCTAGTATAGCAAATCCGACCTGCCCCCCTCTACAACCTCACGCCGTCTGCAAGCTTCTCAAGATGTCGACGCGTAAGGCAGTGTAAGTTGTGAAGCTCCATATGCTTCTGCGATCAAATTGCTCACCCATTACTACAGAGATCAGCGGATTCCCGCTCTCATTCGCAATGGCATCCAGGAGAAGAAGCGCAGCTTCTTCGTGGTTGTCGGTGACCGTTCCAAGGATGTCATAGTTCACCTTCACTACATCATGTCCCAAGCGGACATCAAGCAGAACAAGTCTGTCTTGTGGGCATACAAGAACAAGCTTCTCGGCTTCACCAGGTACAATTGCTCGACGCGCTTCCAGGAAAGCCAGCTGACAAAGTAATTGCCAGTCACCGCAAGAAGCGCGAGACCAAGATCAAGAAAGAAATCAAGCGAGGCATCCGCGAAGCCAACAACGAGGACCCCTTCGAGCTCTTCGTTTCCCTCCACAACATCCGATACGTCTACTACAAGGAGACCGAGAAGGTACTGGGAAACACCTTCGGCATGTGCATTCTGCAAGACTTCGAGGCCATGACGCCCAACATCCTCGCCAGGACGATCGAGACGGTTGAGGGAGGTGGTCTGGTGGTTCTTTTGCTCAAGGGTATGAGCAGCTTGAAGCAGCTGTACACCATGTCTATGGACATCCACTCGAGATACCGTACCGAGGCTCACGACGATGTTGTTGCCCGCTTCAACGAGCGCTTCATTCTGTCGCTGGGTAGCTGCGACTCCTGCTTGGTTATTGACGACGAGCTGAACGTCTTGCCCATTTCCGGCGGTAAGAGCGTCAAGGCCTTGCCAGCGGCGGAGAACGACCAGCCCAAGACGGCCGCACAGGTGGAGCTAGAGGAGATGAAGGAGTCACTTCAAGATACCCAACCAGTCGGCTCCCTGGTTACCCTGGCGAAGACGGTCGATCAGGCCAAGGCGCTTTTGACTTTTGTGGATGCTATCGCGGAGAAAACTTTGAGGAGCACAGTGACTCTTACGGCTGCCAGAGGTCGTGGAAAGTCTGCTGCTATGGGTGTGGCTGTTGCGGCTGCTGTTGCCCACGGCTACAGCAACATCTTCATCACTTCTCCCTCACCCGAGAACTTGAAGACGCTGTTCGAGTTCGTCTTCAAGGGCTTCGATGCGCTCGGCTACGCGGACCACGCCGACTACTCGATTATCCAGTCCACGAACCCCGACTTCAACAAGGCCATTGTCAGAGTCAACATCCACCGCGCCCACCGTCAGACTATTCAGTACATCAGGCCACAGGATGCGCACGTTCTTGGACAGGCTGAGCTCGTCGTCATCGATGAGGCCGCTGCCATCCCTCTGCCCCTGGTGCGCAAGCTGATGGGCCCCTACCTCGTCTTCATGGCGTCCACCATCAACGGTTACGAAGGAACAGGTCGTTCGCTGTCCCTGAAGCTCATCAAGCAGCTGAGAGAGCAGTCAAGACCTGGGGCCAAGACCAACGGCGAGACAGAGGTTGCAGACCGGTCCACAGGCAAGGCCGCAAAGGACCAGGCCTCGAGCCTTCAGGGCAGTCGCACTCTTCGCGAAATCACTCTGTCTGAGCCCATCAGATACGCTCAGGGTGACTCAGTCGAGAAGTGGCTGAACAAGCTTCTGTGTCTGGACGCCACCCTTCCCAAGGCCAAGGCCAGCAGCCAGGGATGCCCCGACCCGTCTCAGTGCGAGCTCCTCAAGGTCAACCGCGACACCCTCTTCTCGTTCCACCCCATTCCCGAAAAGTTCTTGCAGCAGATGGTGGCACTTTACGTTGCCAGCCATTACAAGAACTCACCTGACGACCTTCAACTAATGAGCGACGCCCCCGCCCACGAACTCTATGTGCTTATTGCCCCGACAACAGACGGCAAGCTCCCTGAGCCGCTGTGTGTTATTCAGGTTGCGCTGGAAGGAAAGATCAGCAGGCAGAGCGTCATTAACAGCTTGAGCAGAGGACAAAGGCCTTCTGGTGACTTGATCCCCTGGCTCGTCAGCCAACAGTACCAGGACGACGAGTTCGCCTCTCTTTCCGGTGCCCGTGTCGTCAGGATAGCCACGAACCCCGAGTACGTGTCTATGGGCTACGGCACCAAGGCTCTCCAGCTTCTTACCGATTTCTACGAGCAAAAGTTCACGAACCTCTCGGAGGATGCTGATGTGGGCATGGAGGAGACGTTGACGAGAGTGACCGACGCAGAGCTGGCCAACACTTCTCTGCTCGCGGATGACATCCAAGTCAGAGACATCAAGAAACTGCCGCCCCTGTTTGCCAGATTCTCCGAGATTAGGCCTGCAGCTCTGGACTATGTCGGTGTCAGCTACGGCTTGACGCAACCTCTCCACAAGTTCTGGAAGCGCGCCAACTTTGCCCCTGTCTACCTTAGACAAACCGCCAACGACTTGACTGGCGAGCACACGTGCGTCATGCTCCGGCCTTTGGAGAGCACCGCAGACCAGACATGGCTCGGCGCCTTTGCGAGGGACTTCCAGCGTCGTTTCCAGTCTCTGCTGTCCTACCAGTTCAGAGACTTCCAGTCCATCGTCGCGCTTAGCATTGACGAATCCGCCAATACTGGTGCCAAGCTCGATGGCACTGAGCCCACAGCCCTGACAAAGGTCGAGCTCGACAGACTGTTGACGCCCTTCGACCTGAAGCGTCTCGAGTCGTACGCCAACAACATGCTTGACTACCACGTCATCCTTGACCTTGTCCCTACGCTTGCCGGCCTCTACTTCACCGGTAAGCTCAAGGCCAACATCAAGTTGACGGGCGTGCAACAGGCTATCCTGCTGGCCATTGGTCTGCAGCGCAAGGACATGGACGCCATCTCTCAGGAGCTGTCTCTGCCAAATTCCCAGCTGTTGGCCATGTTCATCAAGATTCTTCGCAAGGTCACGTCTCACTTCAGCACGCTTGTGACCGCCGCTGTTGAGGCCGAGCTTCCCAAGAACGCCATTGGCGTCAGCAGGGACAACGCTTCTGGAGCTCACGACGATGAAGTCGTGGACCAGAGGTTCCAGCCTCTTGAGACTTCTCTCGAGGATGAACTCGAGGAGGGAGGAGATGAGGCTCTGCAGAAGCTCCGCAAGAAGCAGCGTGAGCTCATTGACTCCCTTCCCCTTGACCAGTGAGTCTTACATTGTCCATGGCATTACAAAGGAATTTCAGACTAACAACATCTCTAGGTACGAAGTCGACGGCGATGCTCCCGCTTGGGCGGAGGCAGAGCAGGCGGTCAAGGACGGCAAGTCTGGTGTAGTAAGCGTCAAGACTAGCAAGTCGAAGCGCAAGGCCGGGCCTTCGGCGGCAGACGTCTACGAGGAGGCCTTCGGGGACAAGTCCCACAAGAAGGCGAAGAAGCACAAGAAGGACAGGAGCTGAACGGGTTGTAACGGATGGCTAAAAGTGTAAAAGCATCATCGTTCTCAAAAGGGGTTTGCGGTATTTGTCCTACTAAAAGGGGCCCTGGAGTTCAACTGGCATCTTTCTTGTATATATGAAAGGTTTCTTGATTTGAGTAGAACTTAATGGTATGGCCATTTGAAGAAGCATGAGTTTGATGGGTTCGGTGACTGCTGACGATGGTTTGCTGTCGACGGGGGGCCCCAAAAAGAGGAGGCACCAAGGCACCTTCCTTCTCTCCTACCTTTTTTCGATTTTCAACACCGCCCCTTCCCTTTCGCGTTCCGACTTCTGCAGCCCATTCACCTCTCTCCGACTTTTCAGCCTCCGACACACCTACCTTGTCTGAATGACCCCAAAACACGCGCAAGAGTATCACGACAAATCAAACTTTACCACGTCGCCCATCAAATACAACCCACTTCTATACTCGCGCATGCTGCCGTTCTGACCAAGACAATCCGACATCCCCATCCCGAACAGAGGAACAATCCACGACACCGCCACCATGTGCACCGAAACGATCGCTTTCTGTGACAAGTGCGGCTTCCACCGCCACATGCACTACCACCTCTGCGCCTCCTGGATCTGGTCCTACCGCGAGATAAAATGGGGCTTCCGAACACCCCTCGACTCCATCCCCAAACCGCGCGACTGCCCCCATCTCGACGGCGAGGCCAAGACGGAGATCCTGCCCGGCCGCTGCCCCAACGCGCAATGTCCCGGCCACGCCGTCAAGGCGCAGCAGGACACCGAGAATGACGCCAACGGCACGGCGGACACGAGGACCAAGGTCGAGAAGATCGAGGCGGAGAGGATCAAGCTGGGGTTCAGACGGTTCCGGCCGCAGGCGTTTACGGATCCGTTGGAGGTTGGACGGCCGCACCAGCGCAAGTTGCCTGTCGTGATGCTGAATTTCAAGCCGGAGGAGGGGTCGGGATGGGGACGGGTCCGGGGCAGCGCGGCGGGTAGCGCTGCGGGTAGCGCTGCGGGGAATGCGGCGGGGAGTGCGTCAGGGAGTGCGCAGGCGGAGGTTCATCCTGGGGCGAGGCCCATTCCGAGACCGTCGACGTCGACGCATACAAGCGCAGAAGATGTTCGGCCTCCTGTGCGGAGACGGAGGGAGTTTAACGGTCCTATGATGATGCCTCATTGACGCAACCACGGGACAGCCTAGATAACCCGACAGCGGGCTGGACATGACGCGATGGATAACGAAATACGGGAGGCGTTAGTTTGATACCCATACTTGCTCAACACGTCGCAAAGTCGACATTGCTCCAATAGCGACAAGTCCAGCCTTTGCTTACTTGCAGCTCAATTCACCGCTCTTATCTTTTCCATCGCACGAATTCGTGAACCTTGACTTGACCGGGTGAAGTCCAAGGGTGGACCGTCGTGTAAGCCATCCAGGCATTGACCAATCAAACCCTCGACCCATCATTCGATCGCCCATCGAGAATGTTTCGCTGCAGCGCGGCAACTCGGCAAGGATCCTCCCCAAACACCCAGCTGCCAACGCCAATTAAGCCTGTTTTTCGACGCTCCTCCCCCCTGAAGAGCCAATCTCGGCAGTGGAGTGCGAGTTCTAGGCGTTCCTGGCGTTCCTGACTCTCCCCCTGTCGGCGGGCAACAAGACACCCCACAGCGCCCGTCCTGTCCACTGAGGAACCTTTTTGGCCCTGGTAGGATCATGCACGTTGGGGGAGCACGTCCACCTCCGCGACCTGGGGGTTGACCTGAACTTTTTAAATTTCCCCCGTCTCCCCAAAAAAGGCGTCCTAGTAAACATTGGATCGTCCCATCTCCTCCTCTCTTCCTCACCCTCAACTTCATCCAGCTCCATCAGGGTAGAGAGCTTGAGCCGTCAATCAACCCTGCCCGTCTTCGCTCGACGCGATACAGTCCCCTCGTTTTACGATCCACCCACGTTCATTCGTCGCGGTCACTCCCTCGTTGTGTATCTACACACGCCACTGTCGTTGCTAAGCTCTCCTCAACAGCAAAGGAGAAGAAAAGAAAAGCCAATCGCGAAACCCTCCCACAGGAAACAAGATGCAGCCGCTCGCTCTCGCCCTCCTCGTCGGTGGCGCCATTGCCGCCCCGGCCCCGACCCCCGCCGCACCCCTCGCTGCGCGCGCAGACGTCCTCGCTCCCACGGCCGCCTGGATCAGCGTCGCTGGCGACGGCGTGCCCAGTACCGTCACCCCCGTGCCGACAACCATCTCCGGCACCCCGACCTACGCCTCCGCGGCGCCCAACGCGCTGACCGGCAGCGTCTTCACCATCACCGACTTCAGGCTCGTCAAGGTCACCACGAGCACCGGCGCCCCGCCCGTGCCCACCGCCGACCACAAGAACGGCCAGGGGGCCTTCGCCCCCTGCAGCAACTCCGACGGCGACTTTGCGCCGTTCTGCGACCCGGCCAAGGGAAGCACGCTGTACACCGACACGACGTACTATGGTATGTGATTGTAACTCCAGCAGGGAGCAACGAATGACTGACTTGTGTAGTAACCTGGGACTCCTCCGTCCTCATCAAGGGCAACCAGACCGATGTCCGCGTCAAGATCAAGGGCAAGGAGGTCAACGGCACCACCGTCGGCGACGTCGTCTTCAACAAGGACACCGAGTCCTCCCAGCTCGCGGCCTACGGGTACTACGCCTGGACCGTCAGCAGCGGCCTGATCCCCAAGGGCCAGGACAACGCGACCATCGAGCTGCTCATGACCTACACCATCAACGGCGTCGCGCAGACCGACATCACGGGCCCGCAGGTCCTCGTCTCCAAGCGCGCGACGTACCACCCCGAGGGCGCCAAGATCCCCAAGGGCCAGGAGCTGTACATTGCGCTGCCGACCGTGTTCGGGTTCCTCATCATCTGCCTCATCGGGGGCTGCATCTGGAACCGCAAGACGCGGACGATCGGGCTCGGCAACATCATGAGCCGCTCGAGGCACGGGTACGGCGTCGGCAAGTCGCGCGCGCAGAGGCTCGGCGCCAAGGTCAGGAAGAGCGTGTTCCGCGGCAAGGACCGCGGCATCGCGCTGCGCACGAGGGAGATCAGCCCCGACGGGTACCAGTACCGTGACGACCCGATGCCGCAGCAGCCGCAGTACCAGCAGCAGCAGCACACAGGCACGGGACGGCCGAGGAGGGACAGCGACGCGCTGGGCAGCCTGGCGGGCACGCCCACCTCTGACCGGTTCGATTTCCACGACACGGGCGCACAGGGAGGTAATGCCTTCCGCGACGAGATGCGCAGGCAGGAGCGGGAGAGGTATTAGACGCTGCGTTTTCGGACGCAAGTGAAGTATCTTTTATGCCGAAGGATGTCATGATTGGGAAATGTTATTTTGAATGATGTCTGGACAAGTGTATAGAATCCATGAGACGACGATTAGAGATCTCTGTGCATGTAATATGTAACAAATAATGAACTCACGACGAGGCGGCCCTGTGCTGCGTATGAGTTATTCCACCATCTTGGCTTGAAGTTCTTGAGATCGTGAAACGAGTGCTTGGTACAGAACGGCTGGCTTGTTGCCCCTGAACCTCAGTCAGGGCGTTGTCTTCAGGTTATGGACGGAGGGAAAACATCCAGTGAAGATGTCACGGATTCCGTTTATTATTCCGTTTATTGAATGAAGTCATTCCAATTTACCTTGGCCATCGAGGATATCGTCAATGAGGCAGGAGCGCAGGTCGAACGAGCAGCTCTCTGTTCCCGCTCAAGGCAAAGAAAGCTTCCCTCATCGGCTTTTTCGCTTGCAAAAACAGGTATAATCGAAAGAAACAAAAGGGAAACGATAAGAAAAAACTACAAAAAAGCTCGGCTTCGACATGGTACTACCGTCCATAGCCCTGATTCGAACCCTACGAAAAACCAACGATTTTTACAAATCGGTCTGTCAGACCAACTCGACCACAATCGTGGGAGTGCGTGGGGGACGTCTCCCCTGACAATCCGAGACAGAACTCACCCTCTTGTAGGGTACTCGCAGCTTCCCTTAGATGTCAGGCAGACAGACTGAGACAGGCAGGTAGGCTCTGGACAGGCGCAGTACCACCTGCCACTCAATACCCTGACTGGCAACGATTCCAATGCCTTGAGGACAGGAGTTGAAACATTACATATGGAAGTTCACGTAGTTTATTACGTATATAAACACAGCTTACGTATATAAACACAGCTCACTTCATAGCTAACGAACCATCAATAGGTAAGACCGCATGTCTTCAAGTATTATCCAGGGTGCTCCTTCCCAGGCAAGTGGTGATGACAACCCCTCCGTTTGCACCTGCCACGCGCCCATAGCAATCGATGGCAGAGTCAGTGAGTCCCAGGCAATTATATCGTAACGTCTCTTAGAGCCACTATCTTCCTCCGTGCATTCCTTAGGGCGGAGAAGCGGACGCCCTCCTTGGATACTACGAGTTGGTGTCATTCCTTCCGGGCTTTGAGAGACGGTTTCGTCGCATCGTTCGCGACGAGGCCCACTGAACAAAAAGGAATATGGCATCAACTCCCATTGGGCCCTCATGGAGTACTCCAAGTCTATTGGCGAGATTTCCGCCACGCCTCTCAACAATCATGTCCGCGATATAGTGGGTTCGCTGAAACTCGTTTGGCTCGACATGCCGCCTGAGAAGACCTGGATGTGTCCTCCACAATCATTGCTCGGAAGGGCAAGACTTCCGCAGCATGCTTATCCAAAAGTTCGTATCCTGCAAGTTGCCCGGCCATAGTCTGTCACAGCGAAATTGTAGCCAGCGGCTGCTGCAACAGACCTATTGTGGTTGTCCTTTTAAAAGCTGGTTCAGTCTCGGCTTTTATATCTCTCAACTTAGCTCCTCCCATACTCGATCAGCGTGTACTCAACTGGCTCGTAGAGTGAAGGACCTTGATTTCACTGGCTTTACACTTGCTCTCAAGGTTACCGGGCGGGTCGTTGGCCATAAATACTTTCCATACCACGAGTAGTGTTGAGCAATCTGCCTAGCCTGATCGTCCTTCTAGAGCTGGTATAAGTAGTCACGCTGAGAGTTCTGTGGTATTTTAAAAAGCGACAATAACGCTGTGGGATCGCCATTCGATCATGGATTGCAACCTGCTCTCCGGCACCAATGCTCTATATCTACGTCTTCGTAGCCGGCACCTAAGATCTGACCATCCTTTAGATCGCTTTGGTTAGTATCTCCGGAGTATCCTTTCTAAAGCACCTCATAAAGATGACGAGCTGAGAAGATCACATCCGCGATGACATAGATGTGAGGAAATGTCCTCGAAGTTTAGACGGCCTCGGCGTGGACGACAGTGCAATCCGGTGTGGACCATCTCAATTCCTCAAATGAATTTTGGTGGAGTCATTACACACCCACGAGGGAAACATAATATATCAAAACTACGAGCTCATTATTTTTGGCCTCCGCTCTTCCCCAGTCGACAGGGAGCAGACACACGCGAGTGATTGTCTTGTTGAGATCATCTGGGTTTCCTGCGAGCCATTTTGGCCCTAATGAGGTTGTCTTGAATTTCAACGTGTGGGAATTTATCCCCCAACTCAGTGTCCTTGTCTGATACGAACAAAAAGAGACATCAGGTGTATCATGACGGGTATGCTGAGTTGCAGCGCGGGCCGTCGTCAGTCTTCTTGAGATATTGCTTCCAATTTACCTCGTGGTAATGACGAGAATTGAATACCAGACGTTAAGTTGGTATTTGTATTGAGATACTTAGAAGCAAGTCGAAGACCCAGTTCCCTAGGAGATGCTCCGCGGTTCTCCATGACAATTGCCTTGCAGCAAGTGCCGCTTGTCGTTGGCTGCCTTCGTAAATTTCTCCCAAGGTGATACGTAGGGAGATACTGGATCCATTCATGAATCCAAAGTACTTCTAAGAAGAGAATCCTTACTCCTCCGTCATACCCTTTCGCTTTTCAAAACACACGGACGATGCCAAAGATTTTGGACCGGACTTTGACTGATAGCCGAGGATTCATATACTTGCTACCGATTGATACGTTGCCCGTATAATAACATACTTCAAGCTGTGGCTTTCACGCAGATAATCGCGGAATCCTCGTGACATCCATAATGTCTATCGCAGTCCCGTTTCCCACCGTGATCCGAGCCGTTGAGGCCGCTTATACAAGTACTTGACTAGGCAGCTGAATGGAAACATAATTCCAGGCATGCACGGCCTTTCAAGACTCGCCGTTTTCTTGAACAAACCAAACTCGCTATGCGATGTCGACTTCGTGATTGGATTGGATTCCTTCAATTCACGTTCCGCCAGTTGCCAGAAACGGCAAGTCCACCAAGCCCCACTTGTCGCCGTGATCCGCAGCTTCCATGCCGGAGCACATGTGGATATCCGGACCAGGGCATGAAATGACTCCGCAACTTGCCCACAGTATCGAAAAATTCAGCAAAAATTGCAGCTAGCCAGATCCAGGCTCTTATGACTCCTCGACGGGGAATTGAACCCCGGTCCCCGGCGAATCGTAGAATGACAAGCCGATATCCTCACCACTAGACTATCGAGGATTGAGTTGATTGGTTGACAATTGCGGTCACGATGACAATCATGAAGGGTTATCGTCCTCAGCCCCACAGGCGAACACTGCAAGATTTTCGCAAAACATTGGAAGGGGCTTGTTGTAATGCTTTCCGTAAGTTCGAAAGCTCTGTTCTAATCTTCGTTGTGGCTCCTTGCCGCTTAGTGAGGTGGCCGAATGTGAGAGGCTTTCATCGTAAGTGTGGACAGCAACATGAACCGAACCTCCAGCCAGCGATGGGAATATGATCGGTGATTGGTTTCCAACAGGATTTGGAGTCGTGTCTATGGGTTTCCGCAGACAAAGACCTCAAGTTGTGTTAGCTGAGTCTTTTCAAGTTCAAGAAATACATTCTCTAGGAAACTTGCCTCCAAGATCTTCCCTGATCTCGTTCTCCGGACCTTCGATTTAAACATCTTAATGACGTCCCGGTTTCAATTGAAATGAGGCGAACCGCAACCAAAGTCTTGACAGAGGATTTATTTTCGAGGCGATATAGCTCATTCGGCTTACGAAGCTCCATCAAAGTCGTGCAATTCTGAAGCTATGAAGTCATGTCCTGAATCAGTGTTGTCAAGTCGATCGCGATTGAGTTGCAAGGAGTCGTATGAAACAGCCGTTCGAGACCACGGTCGAGACTGAAGATCCCATTCCTAGAGCGCGCACCTTCGGGCAAGCGATACTTATGGTTCAGCATGGGCCAGCGCGCGGCGTAATCCATCAAGCAATGGAGGTTGTCCGGCAAGCTCACCCTCGACAAATCAGACCGTCCAACGGCTCCCATCGGAAAGTTCAGAGAAGGGATATCCCCTCACGGTTTGGCTGTGCTTCAAAGGCTAAAAGACAGGGCGCATTGAACACCCGCCCGTGGTGAACCTTGGGGTGGGAAGCTGGCCGTTGTCAACTGTGCGTGGCCCGACTCATTCACATCGTCCAAACCGAATTCAGACTGCAGTAAAGTCGACAATTAGCTGACTTGGCAAACATTTCAAGTTTGCCATGATTAAAGGAGCCGCCACACCACCTCAGAGCTAGGCTGCGGAAACTAGCAGGCCAGACGCTGCAAGTTTCCCGTCTGCGAACCGCTTTAGAGCGGAGGTATGCCGTCACCTTTATGGAAACTTCAGATGAAACCAAGGCCTTGAGTTGTTCGATGATGGCTGAGCAATAAAACCAAGACGTCTTGGAGTTTGGTGTGCAGACGGACAAGTTGCCATCTCTCTCACTCCATTAGCAGACCCGATTCCTTCCCGGTTAGCAAACATTCCCGGTGGTTTGTCGTCGTCTTCAACATGTCGTTGGATAACCTCACCTTCAAGAGCCACACCATTACGATCGCCAAAGAGGCTCCGTCGCTGATATTGTCGCCATGGAGAGTCTTTGACAAGGTTTTCGCCTCTATTGCGGGGTATCCTGCCAGCGAGTTCGAGTACGCATACGGCAGCACGCCTCTTTCGACTTTGACGGAGACACTGGCTATCATCGCGCTGTACTTGGTCGTCATCTTTGGCGGACGTGAGGTGATGCGGGAACGCAGGCCTATCGAACTCAACGGCCTTTTCAAGATTCACAACCTGTTTCTTTCAGTCTTGAGCGCAGGATTGCTCCTTCTGATTGTCGAGCAAATCGTCCCGCAACTCTGGCGCGATGGCCTTTACCACAACATCTGCACGTACGCTGGCGCCACCCAACCGTTGGTCACTCTGTACTATGTAAGTCATCAGGAGTCAGATTTCTATTCCTAACCCCCTAGCTAACGTAAAAAAAAAACAGGTCAATTACCTCGTCAAGTACTACGAGCTCATCGATACCGTCTTCCTGATGGCGAAGAAGAAGCCCCTCACCTTCCTTCACTGCTACCATCATCCCGCGACAGTCTTCCTCTGCTTCACCCAGCTTTACGGCAACACGCCCATCTCATGGATCCCTATCTCGTTGAATCTGCTTGTCCATGTCGTGATGTACTGGTACTACTTTCAAGCCGCCCGTGGAGTTAAGGTGTGGTGGAAGAAGTGGATTACGAAGCTGCAAATCATGCAATTCGTCCTTGACCTTGGTGAGTCGCACGTCCATGAATTCCGTAACGATAAGTAAGAGAACTTTGGTGCTGACTATGTACCCTTCACCCAGGCTTCATCTACTTCGTCTGCTACGACCACTGGGCCGACGTCTACTACCCCTGGCTCCCACACATCGCCCGTTGCGAAGGTGAAATCACCGCGGCTGTCACCGGCTGCGTCGTCATCACCTCATATCTGTTGCTTTTCGTGGCGTTCTACATCAACACGTACAGAAGTGCCAGCCGCAGCAGGGCTGCAGCCCAAAAGCCCAAAGCAGGCACCAGCGAGAAGGCAGCCCTCTCGGCAGCTGCGGCGAGAGACGCGACGACACCAGTTCAGACCTGAAATGTAATTTCGATGAGCGCATGTATAAACCGGGTGATACCCATGGGAAATCCTGGCTCTGGACGGATCAGAGCTCGAGGTCGGACGAAGTTTCAAACACCAAGGTAGAGTTCTGTGGCAGGGAGAAGACGTGGGGGTGGCGGAATGGTCAATGCAGATGGTCAACGGCTTGATGTTCAAGGCCATGCCGGACAACAAGCAATCATGTAATATTCGTATGTTGGCTCACTAATGTCGACTAACTTGATTCCTGTGTATTTCTATTCAAGACTTGACAGAGGCTGCCCATGTGCAATTAACAATGCCTCCATATGGTTACCTGAAGAGTCCGACGGCTCGAATCATGTCTTTTACCGTATGCGGAATACCACGCAAAGGCAGGGAACCGTAGTTCGACCTAATCCCAGTTCGGACGACCTCTTCCTTTGCAACTCGTCCCGTCCCCCCTCCACCCTGGAAGCAAGCTTTCGTTTCTTCCTCATCACCAAGCAAGCAATGGCCAACCCCAGAAAGACGATGTTCTACCAAACAATCAGCATTCACATGCGAAAACTTAGTGACGTTTGAACCAGCGAAAGTGAAATACAGGCAGCAGGTTCCCGCCTTATATGTCTCAGTAAGCGCTCCGGAGTGGACTCCGGCAGTCGTCCACTGGGCGGCGTGATCGACAGCAGGCATCTCCCCTGTTGTGCGTACTCTTCGCATTCTTCAACCTCTGGGGAGAAACGCGAGCATCGAGATCCTCATAGGCGCGGCCCGGATAATCGCGACATTGGGACACCGTGCCGTTCTTCGGAACGGTCACTCCCGCTCTGCGTCCGTGTGTGCAGCGCATATGCAGCCTTGGGCTCATCGTATCCTTTTTCGCGAAATGTGCCGGACAGCCACACAGCCTCACTTTTTGTTTTCCCAAGCAATATTTTGAAAAGACTTCGGGTGGCACAACGGTTCTGCAGCGGAAGAACATCATAGCATTCAAATTCTCGTCCGTTCCCTGCGACGCAAACCGGCTGTTTCCGTCGATCTTGTGCGTGCGTGCCGTCCGGGAACCCGGTCCGAGAACACTTCCCATCGGCCTCCCGCACGGCGCCCTCGGCCGTCGTCTTGTCGCCATTGCCTGGGGGCAGTTTTCTTGGGTATTCCGGCCTGCATTAGACCCTGAACCAGCGCAAAGTCGAAGTGAATCCAGTGGATCTTCGGCAGAGAGCTATGATTTGTGCTCGAAGCCGAGTTGGCGCGGATCGAGCCGGCGTTCCTGGTGCCTTGCTTACATTCCTGCAGCTACCTGGCTAGCAGAAATGTTTCGTTTCCCGCCAAAGAGAAAGAAAATGCATGTTTGATGTTGTAACAAATCTGTTGAATCATTTTCGTTTGAGCCACTCGCAGCGGCTACTCCCGTGTGTTTCTTTCAGAGAGATCTGAGCCTGTACTTACACATCCAAGCCTCCATCCAACCCCAGATTTCAACCATCAATCCATTCTTCTCTGTCAACAACCAAGTTTCACCTTCTTCAAATCCCAGAATAGCTCCAACTTTCTCAATGACCCCAAGGCAGCTTCCCGTCCTTCCAATTGGCCTTCCCAAAGTCCCCTACCAGCGCCGGCTCGCGCCTCTCTCGCCGAGTCACCCCTCACCATCCCTTAGCTCCCCCGAGGACTCCTTTGTTCATCCCCTCAACTCAATGACATCAACTAGTCCGTTTTCCTCCCCACTGGTTCTCGACCCTTTCCCGGAAGCATCCTCCCCCTCCATCCGCGCGTGAACGCTAAACCCAATCCCTCCATCAAATCGCCCAACTTCGTCCCCCGTTAGCTCTGCGGCCCAAGTCCGCCCAATCAGAGATCGCTCCGTCAGACCTTTGGGGATCTCATCGAAAAACTACGCAGCAAAAAAGAGAGACCAAAGACCCGCGCCGTCTGCAGGGTCATCCGGCCCCGGCTGACCTGCATGCCGACCTGACTTACACACAAACCCGACCCCGGGCAAGAACCGAGACAAACAAACGACGATCTCGTCCCCCCGCCGGTGCTTATCTCGAAACGCCATCAATGCGATGACACCAAGTCAAACACCGTCCCGCCCAGCTGAAGACGTTCCCTTCAGTCCTCGCGCGGCGCCACCGACGATGAGGTCGTCACGATTAGCGTCCGGACGGGCGAGACAAGGTCGATTGCCGAGTGAGATTTGTGGAGGGGGATGTGTGAGTGTGCTTGTGTGTGGAGGAGGGGAAGGGCCTCTGTTTCTTTAAGCTGGATGAGGACACCACCACGCCCACAGACCTGTCATATCACCATCTAGCACTGACATCCGTCATCCAAGTCAAAACTCGTCGGTTCGCCTCAAGTCGAAGGCTTGTCTCGTCGCAAAATTTCCTCTTGTCAGAGTGGCTGAAAGCCTCAAGACTCATCCACCATGGCCCGCGACGACGACAGCAAGTCACCCGACGGGTCTCTACGGCGGCCATCTCTGGGATCGAGAGACGAGCGTCCGTCCTCGGAATTCCTGGGCGCTGAGCGGTCCCGCATCTCCATCATCGCAGAGGACTCAGACGAGCGTACCGACCGCACTTCCGGCTCATCTCCAGAACTAGACGATGTCGACGAGAAACCATCCCGGTCATCGTCGTACTCCGACCACGAAGACGATGACGACGACGATGACGACGACGACGACGACGACGAGATTCTTCCCGAATCCCTCACGGAGGACTGGGAGGAGAAGATGTCCCGCTTCTCCCAAGCAAACACGCTCCAGGATCGACGCCGACGAGAATCAGAAACCGTCGTCGTCCTCCCCGACGACAAGGCGGACAGGAGGAAGAGCACCGGCAGTGCGACCTCGATCGCGTCCCGCTGCTCACACTGCGGGCACCACCGCCGCGCCTCGTCAGTCACGCTGGCGAACGCCCCGGCAGTTCCGATGCGCAAGTCCTCCCTGCCGCAGCGGCACGGCTCCCTGCGGATAACACCGCGCGTGCAGCCAATGTCGCCCAAGGCGGCCGCCGCCTCGGAAGCCGCCGCTGCCGCTGGTTGTTCGGAGCAGCGTGCGTTCCCGCTTAATGTGAAGAGGGTTCCCTCACACGCCATGTCAGACGTGCAGGTGGCGCGGCACGTGCAGAGTGACGGCAACAACTTCCCTGAGCCACGCTCCGAAACGGCATCCATCATCTCGTCAATATTTGCGCCATCACTGCGGCATCTGGCGAGTCATCCGTCTCTGAACGGGTCGTTGGGCTCGCCTGTGAGGAGAGGGTCGATCGTCACGCCTGTTGCTGAGCAGCGACATCCTGGAAAGGCTGGGGCGCGGATCAGTCGCTTCACAAGGCCATTTGAGCCGGACATCGACGAGGATGATGGCGAGGATTATCTGCGGCAAGTCAGGAGGTTAGAGGCGCTTAGAGCGCAACAGAGAATCTCTCAAGTACTGGCGGCAGACATTTTCTGCGAGAAAGAGGAGTGGGTTGAAGGGTGGCCGTTGGTGTTCCTCATCATCGGTATCTGCCTTGTGGTATTTATAATCTCGGTGCACAGGACGATCATCACGACTGTAAGTTGAAAGGTTTCATAAAAGTGATGCGATGCTGACAAGAAGTAGGCCATTCCTCAAATTACCTCAGAGTTCAAGTCCACGTCGGATATTGGATGGTACGGCTCGGCATATCTTCTCACAGCTTGCGCCTTTCAGCCTCTCTTTGGCAGAATCTTTGTGCTCTTCTCGGTCAAGTGGTCGTATCTCCTGGCAATGTTGATGTTTCTTGGCGGATCCCTCATATGCGCCCTGTCCCCAAGTTCCATGGTCCTCATTATAGGTCGTGCCGTGGCTGGATTCGGAAGCGCTGGCATTCTCACGGGCAGCTTCGTTGTAGTTGCAACCGCGATTCCCTCGAGATTGCGGCCGGCCTACACAGCCATCGTAGGACTGATGTATGACACGTTCTCCACTACAAGATTGAATGTTTGCTGACTTCTTGCAGGTTCGGTATTGGGACCACTGTCGGTCCTCTCCTCGGTGGTGTTTTCACTGAACTCGTCGTAAGTGAACCAATCTTACTGATTCCCTGAGATGAGACTGACGGAGCGTTAGACGTGGCGATGGAACTTCTTCGCAAATCTGCCGGTCGTAGGCGCCAACATGATCATCTTCCTCATCTTCTTTCACCCCAGACAGCCCCCTCGCGTTAGGCCAAGGTTCTTCGATAGAATTTTGGAACTCGACCTCCTCGGCAACATCTTCCTCTTGGGCGCCTGCGTGATGCTGTTCATGGCCCTCGAACTCACCAACCGTGGCCAAGCATGGTCGAGCGTCAGAATCATCGGCCTCTTGTCAGGATCAGGGGCGACCGCTATCGTTTTCGCCGCATGGCAATGGTGGAGGCAGGACGGCGCGTTGATCCCCCCGGCTATCATCACCCACCGAACAGTCGCGGCATCCTGCGTCGCGGCCTTCTCCACGTACGGCGCGCTCATGATCCATACCTATTTCCTGCCGCTGTGGTTCCAGGCCATCCGCGGCGAGGACGCCATCATGTCCGGCGTAGACATGATACCCTACGTGGCGACCCTCGGCATCTTCTCCCTGCTCTCGGCGGTCTTCGTATCGGTCGTCGGCTACCCCGTGCCCCCGGCAGTTGTGGGCGGCATGATCGGCACAGCAGGCTGTGGCGTTCTGCGTTTGCTGTCTCCAAGCACACCGATCGCCTATTGGATAGGTTTTGAGATCCTCGTGGCTGCAGGCTTTGGCATGTCGATCCAGCAGGGCTTGACTGCGGTGCAAGCCGTTCTCCCACCAGATGACATTTCTGTTGGCACCGCTGCTGTCGTCGCTTCTCAGTCTCTGGGAGGCGCCATCTTCGTCTCTGTGGGTAACACGTTGTTCCAGAACTACCTCCTGCGGGCTGCAGCTAAGAATCTGGTTCCTGGTGTAAACATTCGCGTGGTTCTTAGAGCTGGCGCCACGGCTTTCCGTACAGCAGTTCCTGCAAGCGCGCTGCCCAGAATGATGACGGTTTACAATGATGCTTTGAGGGTTACTTTCACGGCGGCCATCCCGTTGGCAGGGGTAGCAGCTATTGCGGCATGCTTCATGGAGTGGAAATCAGTCAAAGTAAAGAAGGCTGCGTAGCTGTAGACAAGTGGAGGATTAAAATATGAAATACGATTGCTCGAATGAACATTGCAATTCCCCCTTGGCCCCTGGCCCAATCGATGGCGCTCGGGGGCTGAAAATAAAGTGTGCCTTACCCGCGACATTATCGGCTGTTGGAGAGACCTCAACGGGAGCTTATAGTAAGCCACGCTGCATCATTTCGTTGGCGTAGTTATTTAAGGCAGAATTACAGGAGCAAATTGAGGTACCCGCCTACTTCGATTCGCCTTGTAGGGACGATTTGAGGGGCGCCGGTGTGCTGCTGAAACCGTCTAGCTGCCACAATCGCGATGTGATTCGTCGTATGAGCCGGCGAGCGATCAGGGATGCGAATCCCACGGCGAGCAACCCCAGTTTTGTATGACCGCAAGTCTTCGAACCAGAGCGCGAGCAACCGGTGTTGTTTGCATTTGCGGAAGGCGTCAGCCGCCAAGAAGCTGCAATACAACGCAAAAGCAACGTCGGTGGTTCATTGCAGTGATCTGCGCGGCGCGGTACCTTCGGTATTTATCAGTGTTCGTTCCGGGTTTAATTTATTCTCCTCCCCTCCTCTCTCTTGTCGCCCGAATCTTTCTCCAACTCAATGTGAAAATGCATCTGTCGTGCTGGTTTCTCGCAACGCTCTCGCTGGCGTCCTTGGCGGCTGGACAGACACAGACATGCTACTGGCCAAGCGGTTCGTCAGCACCTCTACTGCAGGCCTGTTCGGTGGGCTCGGGCAACGAAGCTGCTGCATGCTGCTTCAATAATCATTATTGCATGACCAACGGCCTTTGCCTGTCGCCAACCGAAGGGACTTGGTACCGAGGAGGGTGTACGGACAAAGACTTCCAGCAGACGGGATGTCCGAAATATTGCGATACGACTGATATTGTAGGCGCAAGTAAGTCGATGCCCTCGAGGTTCAGCCGCAACAAAGGCGCAAGCCTGACAGATAAAGACTGACTCGGTTTGGCAGCACCGAATCGTCATGCAGGAGTGTGGGCATGCGCTTCAAAAGTATTCGCGTGCACCAGTCTCGATAACTGCTCGAAGCAGAACTTCACTGTTGGGGCATACAGAGCGGTGATGAATGTGGCCCTTTCGACGGACCTCGCCGACAGCGCAACAACGGCAACAGCGTCAGCGTCTGCGACCAGCGGAAGTGCAGGAGCCTCAGAGACTACCTCGAGTGACGCGACCGGTTCGACATGTCCAGCTACAGAGAACGGAATCTCGACAGGCGCCGCGGCCGGCATCGGGGTGGGCGTTGGTCTGCCGTTGGCTATCGCGGTTGGCGCGCTGACCTTCATGCTCATGCGCGAGAAGAAGAGGTCAAGGGCGGCGCAGGCGAGTTATCAGCAGCCTGGATACGGCCAACAGCCCGGATTCAATCAGCAGCCCTACACGAGCACGCCATCGCACTGGGGCAAGCCGGAAGGGCACTTTGTCCCCAACGAGGTATCGGGACACGCAGCGACACATGAGCTGGCGGATACCCAAGGCAGACACGAGCTTGGCCATTGAAGAAGGAAGGCCTCAACGGTATTGACGCACGAAGTAACGACGATTCGGTAAACCAGATCTTATCGCGGCGATGTGGTCAAATCGCCTGAGAAGGTCAGCAGGAGCCGCTGAGAGGGCAACGAACACCTTGGTGCTGGCAATACATGCCATTATTATGCCTTTTCTGGCTGCCTGTTCTTGTCAGGATAGAAGGACATGAGGACACCAACGCGTGGTCCAGCTCTGACGATCCAAGTCTACGCCGACGGTGCGTTGGTCGACCTGAAGCCACCGCGAGGTGCTAACGATGGGTGAGGGCCAAGAAACCAAGAAACGGCATGCGCTCAGGTGGTCTTTGATGTCGGGACAAGATCTGGAAGCCGGTGCTGATCCTTTCGTTTCCGTAGGATCAGGGACGGCGGGAGATGGACATGAGGAAGTCATCAGAATTGCCGAAAGAAGGAAGGGGGCCCCCATCAGACGAACCACTTATGCGGCTTATGCACAGGCTGAGGGCCGTGCCGCTGCACAATATTTATTCACGTACTAGAGTTTACGAGTCAACCAATCACATTTTATCGGATGCCTGAATTCTAGCACGTCCCCTACCCGCCGATACCTCTTCTTTCAACCATCCACCTTACACCTCAACTTGCGTCAGCCACTTTATCGTCAGCAAAGCGAATCATCGCCTGACGCGCCGCATTCTTTTGTCTCTGGCGATTTCATCATGAACATGACGCTTGTATTATAGTAGGCGCCGCTCTCAATATGAGGCGGGCCCATTGAACACGTGTGGCCGAAACATACACCAGATGGCTGACTTCGTCAGCAGGGTCTTCCTCTCGCAGCAATGGCACAGACACCATCATGACCACCATGAACCACGTTTCTGGTATCTCTGAACCACAGACTCGGGCATCCTCTCTTCGCATTCCTCCTGCGCTGCCTTGACACCACCACGATCCAGCCACTCAGAGCGCTGAAGGTGGCTCATGGTGCCCTTTCCAGGAAACCCCTTGTGCTAGCGCCCTCCAGGGCTGACCTCTTCTCCATTTTGGGCGGTACCAAGCTGCATGGACTCGCGCCGGCGCACCAGGTTGCGGCTCACAACGAGCGTTGTGCGCTTCTCTTTGTCAGGCGATAGTCATCGCTGGATCAATCTCGCTCAGTCTCAATTGGGTCTGGACCCAGGCCAGATTCATGCAAAAGTAAGCACCAACATGGAAGAAGAAAGCTCCATTCAGGTTTCCACGGCGTTTGCCGTTTCTCTTTCGGCATATGCGTGACGGAGCTTACTATCCCGCGGCCATGGCATCTCCTGCGGGCGCCAGCCAAGCGGCGTTCTAGCACCTAAATGTAATTTAATTCCGCGATGCTGGGAGACGTTGGAGACAGTCTCGTCCCCGGCGACCCCTGTTTTAAGACTCATACCCAACCCAGATCTACTACACCTTGACACCTTAATGACTTCTCTGTTACGTCAATATCCTCAAGAAGCCATTCCTTTAGCTTTGCTTTTGCAAGTCAACCCCTTAGCTGGGTGTTCTTGGCTTGAATTCGGCATATTTCGATCATATCTTGAGCCAAAATTGCTTCGCGCGCAAAAAGATGGACGACCACGAGGCTCAGTACCACCAGCAGCAACTCGAATGGCATCAGAAGAAGCATGAACAACAGGTGCAACGACAGCGGCAGCTTAGAGGACCCGACGATGAGGGCCAGACACATTCCCCAACGTCATCCTCGCCGCCGCCGCCACACTCGCCCAAGTCGCTGCAGCAAACGTCTTTGACAACTCTCAAGAACGAGGACGAGAAATCCCAGAGCAAGCAACAGACCCTGCAGGACGAGCAGCCCGGCCTGGAGCCTGCGCCAGTACGCTGGTCCAACGCCCCGATCCCATACACACCACATGACGACGTTCAGAGTCCAGCGGGGCAGAGCTCAATTGTGAGCCCAGGGGCTTTGAGTCCCGGAGGGCAAACGCTCACTTCAGACGCGAAGTGGCTGGAGAGCCAACTCTACGCCGTGCCACTTGAGTCAACATCACCGCCGCCGCCACCACCAGTCGGCAAGCGCCGGATTCTCGGTCTTTCTGTGCCTGTCTTCTGGGGTCTTATCATTGCCCTAGTGATTGTCCTGGCCGCAGGACTTGCCGGCGGCGTCGCAGGCGGTCTGATAGCCCAGAAGGCCAATGCCTCACCCGAGTAAGCCATCTTTAACTGAGCTCGAATCTTTGCCGAACTAACCCTTTAACAGCCCAACCTCAACCGCCGACTCCGCGTCTTCCAACCCATCGGCAACCACGACAGCCGCAACCTCCGCAGCAGCAACCGCGCAAGCCTCCGGCAGCGTTCTCCCCGCCCCCACCGACGGCGGGTGCCCCAAGATCAACTCGACGACCTTCACTCCGCTCGATGCCATAGGCGCGGTTATAGATCTTAGTAACGGGCAGGGCCAGACCTTCCGTCAGCTGTGCGAGGTCAACTACCCCGGCGGAGCGGCCTACGGCAACCCGGGCATCTACGACATCCTCAAGGCGTACGTCTCGACGTTTGACGAGTGCATGACGCTGTGCGCGGCGTATAACCAGGCGTACTACACCAATCTCGGCAACGGGGACGTGGCGAAGGGGGGATACTGTCGGTCTGTGGCTATGATCAAGACGCCGGGCGAGTACTGCTACTTGAAGAATGGTACGGGGGTATCGGATACTTTTGGGCATCCTAAAGACTTTGTTAGTGCTGTTGTCGTTTCTGGTCTCGATGTCTAGTTTTGGCTGCTACAGGGGTCCGGAACGATTCTCATGGGTTAATGCGCGGCGTTGGGGTAAAAGTCATACCATCACTTAATGTCCTACCACTTATCATAATCTACCAAACCAAAGTCTGTCTCTTCGCATGGACTTGGAACCAACTTTCTATCACAGGTACCAATCCGTGTCATGTTACAAGGAATTTGGGTTATGCGTCAGTCGTGTCGCGTTATCAATTCATGCTCATCTAGCTGTCTGCTCCATCGTCCTCGACTAACATGGCCTGCTGACCGTGACATGGGTTCTCCACCTTCCGTTACTAGGCCATGAGGTTTCCGGCAGCTAGCTCACTTCTTGCTGGAACCGAGTCGCGGGCGCAGTAGTGGTTGCCCTGTGAACCCATCATAGTCAGTCAACATGTCGAATTAGGTGAGATTGAGGAGGCCGAACTTGGTTATTGGTGCCGGAGCTCTTGTACGAGTATCCCTGGTTGCTAGGCATCTAGGCGGTTATTCAGAGAGTCTTGGGTCTGGAAGTTTAGATGTGAGGTTGGTTTGCTTTTTGGTCAGTGGTGTGTTCGAGGGGAAGCAAATGCGAGATCGACTGAAGAGGCGGGGGAATTAAATAGGAGGTTGATCACAAGCCATCTCACCTTCCACCTCACCCCGCATCTTAGATTGCTGAGATAGGGAAGCTTCCTGTTGCTGCAGGGGAAGCTGCAAACAAAGGGAAG